TGCATTCGGTGGGATCGACTGCTCAGTGTGGGATTTGGTGAGGGGAAGGCATGCGGCTTACAGAGAGGAGGAGAGATAGAGGGGGAGGGAGAGAGCGTTCTGCAGCACGCTTGCAGTTTTCGTTCAGATCCAGGTTTGTTTTTTTTCCCTTAAAATTTAGATTTTTTTTCGCCATTTTATGTTTCGTTCAGATCCGGGTCCGTTTGGCTACCGAGAAATTCACTTGAAAATTTTCTTTTCGTTGGGTTTTAATTTGTTATTTGGGGTCGCGTCTGGGATGAATTGCTTGCCGGGATTTGAATTCGGCTTCTGGGATTGCGAAATTCTTCGATTCGAAGTATTGCTTGTCGGCATTTCATAGATCACATTATGCATTATGTTAGTGAATCGTACTGAGAACATGTCAATCATATTTAGGTTCTGTGCAAGGAAGGGGACATATGAATCCTGCTCTTGATGATTCAATATGTCATCAAACATTACTTAGGCTTCTAATTTCATACAGAAATCGAAAACCCATTTGGTGAGCCCTTGAGTCATAAGAAGTTCAAATTACACTATATTGGGTCTGAGACTTGGAAACTCAATATCTTTGTGATATTAGATTAACATAGTTAAACTATATTTTCTTTTGATGGGCATGTCTAAATTTCTGTATTTGCGCTGCAGGGATGTCTTATCTGGTAAAGTGTTCAAAATCCTTCTGCTAACTGATTTAATAGGTTGAATTTGTATTCAAGGTTTTCTTCCAATATGGTCTGAACTATTTTGTTAATTAACGAAAACAGGTCACTTCTCTCTATGGTGGTCCCTTAGAGTTTACGTTTATTGTGCAAAGCACAGAAGACCCTGCTTATCAGGCTGTATCTATGCTACTAACAGAGCTTAAGGTATACGCAACAATAATCCTGGTTTCTTTAATATAAGAAGAACATCCAGGACAAGTCATATATAATATACGCTTGGAAGCACAAGTTTAATGCATAACATTTTTTAGGTTACATGTGTTCCCAGAATGATCTGTTTTACGTTTAACTTCATTTCCTTGCAGGACGAGGTTGATGTTAAGATTGTTGTGGCTGGTATTTCAACAACCTGCAGTCAGAAAAATCACAACCAATTGGTATGTACCTGATTAAAATAATTTACGCTTTGCTACCATGCTGGTGCAATAGCAAGGTCTTGCACAGTTTAAGTGTTATCTTATCAAAACATTATGTACCTATAATTGTTCTATATGACAAGTTTCTTTTCTTTATGGAATACAGGAATATAAATTTATTACTAAGTCTTAATGGTGTAGGGTATATGTAAATGAATTCAATTAGAACTCACATTTTTGTTTTCTGTTTTGTAGCTGCCTTGATCATTAGTCGGTGATATTTGAGAGATTGGGTCATCTGGTTGTTTGGATTTAAGTGGGATTGAGGTTATATTTGCCGCTTTTTGTGATTTGGGTCTGGGTTATGGTTAAGTTATTGCTATTTATTCTGGGTATTTGCTGAAATTTGTGTTCAATTAGTGTGAGTTCTGTAATTGGTTTGTGTTCGTTCATATAACCTTCTGTTCTTGGAATGTGATTTAGTTGTGGCTCTTTCATTTGATTCTTAATTCTTTATGATTCAGCACTAAGTTGATATTGATGATGAATTTTTTCTAGAGATTAATGCTTTCATGTTTAAATCTTAAAACTATACTTGCTTCTCTTGGGTGTATGTTTTGCCGGTCATGAAAAACTGTCGGCCAGTCTTTTTGCACCACTCTTTCGCACTCTTTTCCGTGGCTATCATGTTTCTCTCTGACCTTATAAATTTTGCCTTCATTCACAGCAAAAAACCTTGCGGCGAGCAAACAGGCACAACCAATTCTGCCAGAATTGCTGGAGAATTCCACAACCAAGGTCATCGAGTACGGCCGGAAGCATGTTGAGGGTCGAGATGGCGAAAGCACCAATGTTGGCAAGAGCTGCGACCCAGTCTTCACTGATTTGAAGTTTGAGTTTGTTTGTGATTTTTTTTTTCTTTTGGATTTGTAATTTATCCTTTTGTACCTGACAATTTGTGATCCAAAATTTTTTTCGCGCGTTTTGATTTTCCTGTGAATTTATATGGGTTTAGATTTTTATTGTTAATTTACTGATGTTGGGGGATCATTTTGGCTTCTAGATTGGTTTGAACATTTTTCTGTCTTTGTTTTTTCTTTTGTGAAGTTTTAGTCAGATTGAAGTGTTCTTTTCAATTTGAGATTTAATTGAAGTGTTTAGGATTATCTACATATATATAATCAATGTTGAAATTTTAAACTAAATCACTATGCTGCAATCAAACCCACAGATTGTTGGGTCCAAAAGAAGAAGAAGAAGGCGTGAACAACATGAAATTGGCTTTGGGTAAGCTTCCACTCTCTTCTGTGTATGATCTCTTTGAGAAGTGATTTTGGTTTGTGCTTTCAAAAAAGATGATGGCAATTCCATATTTGGACTGAGAAAACAATATGCATGTATAATGAAGTGGAATTTTTCGTGGTATTATCAACATGCATGTTATAAAGAATTCTTCATTTAATTTTTGGGTTGTGTGTTTTGTGCTGTTTCATTCGTGACTTGTGTGTTTTGTTGTATCTGATTCCGGTATCTGATTCGAGCATACGTCATTGAAGAATGTTAATGAATTCAAACATGGGTTTTGGGGTGTTCTTGCTAGAAAAGCCAAAGACATTCTCGACGATGATGATAATGGAGTTCAGGATTATGATTCATCCCGAACAACAAGGATGGATATGCTGTCTATGCCAACATGGGGGTAAGGTGAGATATAGTTTTCGTCATGTCTTTATAGTAGCTTGGCATTTTCCAAGGACTTTTAATTGCTGCTGCATTGTTGAATACATTAAGAATGATCCGGTAAACCAGAGAGGGAGTCATCAGCTTATGGATCTGTTAACACATCCAATGTGTTGTAATCTTTTCGCTACTTAAACATGTTAAGACATCAACTCTAAAAAAAACTTTGGTCTGCTACTTTACTTATGGTGCTGTTGGTTTACTCCAACGATAATACCTAGCTAGGATAGCCTTTTCTTTATGTCTTAATTATTGATAGTGCTATCATCATGGCAGGCTATGTTGGAGCAAAAACTGTGCAGGCAAAGACATAAGAGTGATGGATTTTGGAATGAAATGCAGAGGATATCATTTTGTGCTGCTTAAGTAAAAGTTTCCTCTTCTGTTATATTTGTGTGTTGGATATTGTAGAAAATTCATATAAGTTGTATATTCATGATAAGTTGATAACTGACTGATTAAGATTACTTACAAGGGGTCTATATGCACAGGAGAGCTCAGCATGAGGGTGCTGTTGGTTTACCTTGCCTGGATGTGTTGCGTTGCGGGGTTGTTCAAGAAAAAAGGTTTTAAAGGATCCTTTGCAGATGCAGGATCTTCTGCTAAGGTTTGGGAATTCCTATTATTAAATGATAACATTGTAATCCGAGTGTAATTAGTTTAGGTTTTTTTTTTTTTTTTTTTTTTTTTGTTTTTGTGTTATTTACAATGTCAGAATGTTTCTTTGAATTCAGTTGCTAAGGTTTCTTTTTATAATTTCCCCTTTTAAGACATTTGCAGTTTTGTCCGGATTGTGTGAGCCGTTGCTTCAGCCAAAACAGGTGCTCGCTCCATTTTTCATCTCTTCCATACTCAAACCCTAGCCGCTTCACCTCTCTCTCCCACACATAAGCAAACTCCATTTGAAAGCCGTAGAATCCAAAGGTAAATCCCTTCGAACTCTTCGATTATCAACCAGATTTCAGACTGTTTTTGGGATATACACTGCTATTTCATATAGTGTTAGTTCAATAGTTTAATCCTAAGACCTAGCTCATGAGACATCAGAATTTCGATTGACTTAGCTTTTGTCCTATGCCTTTTTTGTAGGAACAACAGGGATTGTAGACTACACAAACTTGGAAGATATGAAGTACGCGGTAAGTCCTTTTACTTTCTCACTCCAGAGTCCAGACATTCATATTTTCTGTAACCTTCTATGGAGCATGGGTACTAGGTTGTTGAATATTGCTTTTTCAATATGTCGATGTGTCTGAAGCGTCTATAAGAATCTCAAACTTCATAAATAATTTCCATGCAGATCAAAAAGCTTGATGGCTCTGAGTTTTGAAATGCTTTTGACCGCCAATCTGTTCGCGTATGAATCTTACAAGTTGAAAATTTATTTTCTTTCCTCCTGTATTTTTGTTTATCTGTTGCTCTGTTGGGTTTTTTTCCAATAACTCAAAGGGCCGAAAGGTATTCCCTTTTCATATTCTTCTCTCCCAATTTCTTTAGAGTTAATTTCAATTTTCTTATGCTATTTGCCGGGGTGCTGTTTAGGGTTTAACTATTTGATTTCACAGATTCATTTCAGACACGGTAAATAGTTACATTTTAAATTCGTATTTCATAACTTGGTTGCTTGATTCTAATGTTGATTCGTTACAACAGAAGTGAACTTTTTCTTTCAATAATTTAATCTGATGCAACTCTGTTTTTGCTCTCTCATGTCTAGGTTGGTGAAGGACATGGGGAGAAGAGCACTTTGGAAATGGGTACGAAAGGAAATAAACATGCTGAACTGCATTGGCATCTATTGTTCTGGTTTTTCTTTGACAAGTTAACTTGCTCTCTCTTTGCAGTAAGGTGCACAAATATGGAAAAAGCACGACAGGGGAAAGCTGGGATATTGTTGTGGATGAGGAGACCTATTACGAGTGAGTCTGGACTTGGTTCTGGTTCTGTCTACATATAGCATGTTGAAGCAGTCAAAAGGATTTCAGGGGAACCAAATATAAATAATTTAGATTACATCTTCTGGTATTGCTCTTACTGTAAAAGTAATTTTGATTTTTCACTTTTTGATGAAGGGCTGAGCTGTCAATTAAACCTCGAGAAAGGCCACATGGCGTCTACCCTGCCCTTGATTTTGGATCGTCGTCGCTTTCAGTTGATGAACCACCAGATGAATTTTCTCTAATATCGTGCGGCTCAAAAAAATTTGTATGTGTTTACGTGTATTTTTGTGCTCTGAATAATTCTAATCAAATTCCATTGCTCTCCTAAGCTAAAGTCAGAATTTGTAGCATATAAGGGAAGGTTAGCAGATACTTGCCAATTATCCAAAGCTGGATATTAAGGTCTTTAAGCTTAATATCTTTTTGTAGGTGTAGCATCTGCTTGGAAAAAGGTTTCAACTTTAATGTCTGTACGTGTCATTACTCTTCATTGATTGTGAAGAACCAGGATTAAAGAAAAGCATCCTTTAAAGTTTAAACTGGAAGGGGGCAGGTTATAAATTACAGGTGAAATGAAATTAGAAATATATAGTCTTATGATTTGTGTCTAAAAACATAATAAATGATATTAGATCCATCCATGTTAATAATAAGATTGTTATTTATGTTAATAATAAGAGTGTTATTTATGCCGTGAAATGGTATGGAATTTGTTTATGGTTTTACCAACTACACAAACTGAGTCGTTTTTGCTCTTATCTGTTGGAGTTTTATGGGTTGTATCTGGTGTGCTTGAGATGAAGTTGACAAGTATCATTGACTGTGTACTTTAATTATTCTGCATGACTTTTCATGCATTCACCATCGTATGGAATACATCAAAGTTTTTGGCCAAATTTTCCACATAAAATTTAATCCTCTCAACTTAAAGAAATTTAAGAAAGATAGTTTTAATCCTCTGAACAAATTAAAGAAAGATAGTTTTAATCCTCTGAACATTAATTTATTCTTTAATTTGTTCAAAGTATTATTACACGGCAACTTGATGTTGTTGCTGGTGATGTATCTGGATTGGCCGTGAAATGGTATGGAATTTGTTTATGGTTTTACCAACTACACAAACTGAGTCGTTTTTGCTCTTATCTGTTGGAGTTTTATGGGTTGTATCTGGTGTGCTTGAGATGAAGTTGACAAGTATCATTGACTGTGTACTTTAATTATTCTGCATGACTTTTCATGCATTCACCATCGTATGGAATACATCAGAGTTTTTGGCCAAATTTTCCACATAAAATTTAATCCTCTCAACTTAAAGAAATTAAAGAAAGATAGTTTTAATCCTCCGAACAAATTAAAGAAAGATAGTTTTAATCCTCTGAACATTAATTTATTCTTTAATTTGTTCAAAGTATTATTACACGGCAACTTGATGATGTTGCTGGTGATGTATCTGGATTGGCCGTGAAATGGTATGGAATTTGTTTATGGTTTTACCAACTACACGAACTGAGTCGTTTTTGCTCTTATCTGTTGTAGTTTTATGGGTTGTATCTGGTGTGCTTGAGATGAAGTTGACAAGTATCATTGACTGTGTACTTTAATTATTCTGCATGACTTTTCATGCATTCACCATCGTATGGAATACATCAGAGTTTTTGGCCAAATTTTCCACATAAAATTTAATCCTCTCAACTTCCTAACATTATCAAACATTAATTTAATCCTCTGAACAAATTAAAGAAAGATAGTTTTAAAGTTGAATCTGATCTGGAGATAAAGTTGACAAGTATTATTACACGGCAACTTGATGATGTTGCTGGTGATGTATCTGGATTGGTGATGAAACTTTTGTCCAAGATTCCAAGAGTCCGTCCGACGACTGCTGCTCTCATTGATGTGCACCGATTTGAAAATGCGGTCTCATGCCGTAGAGGATGGTTTAGAAAAGGTGAGGCTGCCTAGTATATATAGGTAGCACTACTCTGGATCCTTCATTGCACATACACATCACCTGCTTCATACACTTGAACTTTATGGAGAGAACCATGAGAGTTGTTACACTGCTAATCAGGTTTCTAGCCATTGCAACCATTACTTTCAGTATTGGTTTATGCAATGGAAATCCCGGTTGGCCCCCACTTTGCAAAGAAAGCGAAAGACAAGCACTTCTGATGTTCAAGCAAGATCTCAAGGACCCTGCCAATCGGCTTGCATCGTGGGTTGCAGAAGAAGTTTCAGACTGTTGCAGTTGGACAGGAGTTGTCTGTGATCACATGACCGGCCACATCCACGAGCTGCACCTTAATAATTCCGAACCTTATTTGGAGTCTTCCTTCGGTGGTAAGATAAATCCTTCTTTGCTCAGTTTAAAGCATCTCAACTACTTGGACTTGAGTAACAATGATTTCAGTACAACACAAATTCCCAGTTTCTTTGGTTCTATGACAAGTTTAACACACCTTAATCTTGGATACTCAAGGTTTGATGGAGTAATTCCTCATAAACTGGGAAATCTCTCCAGTCTACGTTATCTCAATCTCAGTCTTAACTATCTGAAGGTTGAAAACCTTCAGTGGATTTCTGGTCTTTCTCTGCTAAAACACTTGGACTTGAGTTCTGTAGATCTTAGCAAAGCATCTGATTGGTTGCAAGTTACAAACATGCTTCCTTCTTTGGTAGAGTTAATTATGTTTGATTGTCAACTTGATCAAATTCCCCATCTACCCACCGCAAATTTTACTTCCCTGGTCGTCCTTGATCTTTCTGAAAACTATTTTAATTCTTTGATGCCGAGGTGGGTTTTCAGTCTTAAAAATCTAATTTCTCTTCGTCTCTTTCTTTGTGGTTTCCAAGGTCCAATTCCTAGCATTTCACAGGATATCACATCTTTGAGGGAAATTGATTTGTCATTCAATTATATTAGTCTTGATCCGATTCCCAATTCAATTCAGAATATGACCGGTCTTAAAGTCCTTAATCTTGAGGGGAACAACTTCAATTCTACCATACCTGAATGGTTGTATAGCTTGAACAATCTCGAGTCCTTACTTCTTTCTTACATTGAATTACGCGGTGAAATATCGAGTTCCATTGGAAACATGAAATCCCTTGTCAATCTTCACTTGGATGGTAATCGGTTGGAAGGGAAAATACCAAATTCTTTGGGGCATCTTTGTAAGTTGAAAGTTCTTGATCTGTCAGAGAACCATTTCACGGTTCGAAGACCATCCGAAATCTTTGAAAGTTTGTCTAGATGTGGTCCAGATGGAATAAAGTCGTTGTTGTTGAGGTATACTAATATATCAGGTCCCATTCCAATGTCACTAGGAAATCTGTCAAGCTTGGAAAAATTGGACATATCTGGAAATCAGTTTAATGGAACTTTCACTGAAGTTTCTTTTAGCAACCTTACAAAGTTGAAGCATTTCATTGCGGGAGGAAACTCATTAACTCTGAAAACTAGTCGAGATTGGGTTCCTCCTTTTCAACTTGAAATTTTGCAGCTGGATTCCTGGCATTTGGGGCCTGAATGGCCGATGTGGTTGCGGACACAAACGCAATTAAAAGAACTAAGCTTGTCTGGTACACAAATTTCAAGTACTATTCCAACTTGGTTTTGGAACTTAACTTCCCAAGTACAATCTCTGGATCTCTCTCACAATCAGTTGTATGGGCAGATTCCAAATATATCTGTTGCTCCATATTCAATTGTTGATCTTAGTTCTAACCATTTCACTGGTGCATTGCCTATTGTTCCCACCTCATTATATTGGCTAGATCTTTCCAATTCATCATTTTCTGGATCTGTTTTCCACTTCTTCTGTGATAGGCCGGATGAAACAAAGCAACTTTATTTTCTTCATCTCGGGAACAATTTTCTCACTGGAAAAGTACCCGATTGTTGGATGAGTTGGCAATCCTTGAGCTTCCTGCATTTAGAAAACAACAACCTAACTGGGAATGTCCCAATGTCCATGGGATACTTACAATTTCTGAGATCGCTGCACTTGCGCAATAATCACCTGTACGGAGAATTGCCACATTCCCTGCAGAACTGTACCTTCTTGTCAATTGTTGACCTTAGTGAAAATGGGTTTTCCGGAAGCATACCAATATGGATAGGGAAAAGCCTTTCAGGGTTGCATCTTCTTAACCTTCGTTCAAATAAGTTTGAAGGAGATATTCCTAATGAAGTTTGTTATTTGAAAAGTCTCCAGATATTGGACCTTGCACATAACAAACTCTCAGGAATGATACCGAGATGCTTCCACAATTTAAGCGCCATGGCTAATTTTTCAGAATCATTTTCTCCAACGAAAGGGATAGAAATGGTAACAGAGAATGCAATCTTGGTAACGAAAGATATAGAAATGGCAACAGAGAATGCAATCTTGGTAACGAAAGGGATAGAAATGGAATATGCCAAGATTCTGGGATTCGTAAAATGCATGGACCTTTCATGCAACTTTATGTATGGAGAGATCCCTGAAGAACTTACCAGCCTCCTCGCATTGCAGTCCCTCAATTTATCGAATAATCGCTTCACTGGAAGAATTCCTTCAAAGATTGGTAATATGGCACAGTTAGAATCTCTCGATTTTTCCATGAACCAACTTGATGGTGAAATTCCTCCAAGCATGACGAATTTGACATTTCTGAGTCACTTAAACTTGGCCTACAACAATTTGACGGGACGAATTCCGGAAAGCACTCAACTGCAGAGCCTCGATCAGTCGAGCTTCGTCGGCAACGAATTATGCGGAGCTCCCCTCAACAAGAATTGCAGCACGAATGGGGTGATACCGCCAGCAACACTTGAGCAAGACGGAGGAGGTGGATACCGTTTACTAGAAGATGGGTGGTTCTACGTGAGCTTAGGAGTTGGATTCTTCACGGGGTTTTGGATTGTGCTTGGTTCTTTGCTGGTAAACATGCCATGGAGCATTCTTCTTTCACAGTTGCTGAATAGGATAGTGCTTAAAATGTATCATGTAATTGTTGAATATGTTTAGCTTTGTTTTGTACTTTGCGTAAGTTTGTTGGCATTTTCCTTGCTGTGACGAATATGCCAGTATGGTTGTGTTGCCTGATTTTGTCAAATTTCGTCCTCTTGTTTCATTGTATTTTTCTTTCAGGTTTGGCTTTAGAGGGGTTAGGTTTCATGTTATCCCTCCCTTGTATCGATTTTGTTTTCGTTTTTAGAGGGGTAAGGTTTATGCCCCCCCTTCTTACTCAATGTTGTTTTTCTCCTTTTCTTGGCATTATGAGGGGTAAGGTTTATGTTCTCCCCTGACTAAGTGTAACGTATTTGTTTTGTTATTAATAAAATATCCCTCGTACCGTCGAGGTTTTCTTAAAAAATAAAAAATATAAAAAAAAAAATCCCATATAAAATTAAAAGACTTGTTTTCTGAACAAGTAACTCTTAATTCAGTAGAAGCAAATTGAATGACAAGAGAAATGTGTGAAAATGGTTTATGGATTAGTTACCTATTAATTAAGGGGTGTGATATCCACACACCCCATTTTACTTATCACACACCTTTTTAATTTTCAGCCGTCGGATCAGATGAATTAAAGAAGATCAACGAACAAAAATTATCAAGAGGTGTGTGAGAAGTAAAATAGGGTGTGTGTATAACACACCCCATTAATTAATTATCAGCGAACTCACATTATTCACATTATTTCGTGGTTGTATTTTTAATTATTTTTCATTTACAATTTTACCTCTGGATCTTTCTTTTGTTCTCTCTCTGTCTCCCCTTCTTCTTTGTAGTACTTATCTCTCTCTCTCTCTCTCTCTCTCTCTCTCTCTCTCTCTCTCTCTCTCTCTCTTCTTCGTATTAATTCACATGACACCTCTCGCTCTTTTACGAGAAAACCCAATTGCTATGCAGCTTTGAAATGATTGTGGAGCAAGCAAAATGGTGACGACAGAGTTAGCATGTTCCTATGTTATTTAGAGGCACTCTCTGTCACAAAGCATTCGTATTGATGCCAATATACGCAAAGTTTACAAACTTGAAACATGAAGCAACTTTGTTCCTAGAATAAATAAAATCGACTCGACTCGACTCGACTCAACATGTATCGATCTGAAGTTCTTGACATCCTAAGCATAAGGGTTAAGAACAGGGGTCTGTTTAAATCTCCGAAAAGAAAATAATAAGGGCATATATTGCATGTACAAAATCTGAATCCTGTACTCTACATGAGTCTCCAGCATTAGCGAAACTTCATCTCGTTTGGTTTGTTGCCCCTAATGCTATGGTTGAGCCTACTTGTTTTACATAGGCTAACAAACATCCCGAATGGCGACAGGTAATGGCAGAAGAGTTTAATGCTCTTTTGTGCACTGGCACATGGTCCTTGGTTCCATTTCTTCCATCCATGAATGTTCTTCGAAATAAATGGGTATATCGGATCAAACGACATTCTGATGGTTCCATACAACGGTACAAGGCTCGACTAGTCGCAAATGGCTTTCACCAGCAAGAAAGTGTAGATTGCAGCGAGACATTCAGTCCAGTTGTCACTCATGCAACAATCAGACTCATTCTCTTCATTGCACTTCACTACAATTGGCCTATCTGACAACTTGATGTTCAGAATGCTTTCTTACATGGTTCTTTGGCAGAAGAAGTTTATATGCAACAAACCTTCAGGTTTTGTGGATCCTCAGTTTCCATCACATATTTGTAGACTACAAAAATCATTATATGGTTTGAAACAAGCACCTTGTGCCTGGTTTCAATGTTTCTCCCAACATCTTGAAGAACTTGGGTTTCAGGCCTCAGTAGCAGATTCTTCACTATTCACCTTATTTAATGGATCCATAGTTATCTACTTGTTGACATATGTCGACGACATCCTTGTTACGGGCAATAATCCATCACATATATCTCGGTTCATTCAACAGCTTGGTCAAAAGTTTTCTATGAAGGATCTAGGTCCTTTGCATTATTTTTTGGGAATGGAAATTACACGGGCATCCATTGCCATGTATCTTTCTCAATCCAAGTACATCCTAGACCTTGTAAAGAAGGCCAAAATGTCTGATGCAAAGCCTCTCACCACTCCCGCTGCAACTGGCCATAAGTTGAGTATATATGACGGAGAACCTTTGTCAGATGGCACTAATTTTTGAAGTATAGCCGGTGCTCTCCAATATCTTCTTTTCATAAGACCTAATATTACTTTCACCGTCCATTAGGTCTGCCAATATTTGCATTCACCCACTACTACTCATTGGGCTGTTGTTAAACGCATATTCTGATACTTGAAGGCCATTCATGATCAGGGTATTGTCTATAAACCTAGTCCTCTCACACTTACTACATTTGCCGATATGGACTACACTGGAGATCCTGATGATCGGCGCTCCACTAGGGGCTATTGCATTTTCCTTGGAGATGATCTCGTCTCTTGGAGCTCCAATAAACAGCAAGGGGTGTCTTGCTCAAGCACGGAGGCCGAGTATAGACAACATACCTATATGGCAGCCACTTTATCTTGGTTTTGCCATATCTTTCATGACCTGCACCTTTCGCTTTCTCCACCAAAGTTAAGGTGCGACAATATCAGTGCACTTGCAGTAGCTTCTAATCCTGTTTATCAGGCAAGGATGAGACACATTGAAGTTGACTATCACTATGTGCGAGAAAATGTTGTTCGCAAAGAAATTCAAGTTGGCTATGTCGCAACTACTGATCAGATTGCAGATCTTCTCACAAAAGGTTGTCCTCTGCTTGTTTCAGTTATCTCCTCTCCAAGCTTCCTGTTCGTCAACCCCCGCTTAGCTTGCGAAGGCGTGATAAACCTATTATTCTTACATGTACTCTAGGTCAGCAATCCACATCCCTGCATTTTGAATCACCTAAGTCCCTCTCACCAAGTCAAAGTCAGTTTGGATAACTCAAGGACTCTTCACCAAATAGAGAACCCAACGCAGTCCTATCTCTTTTTAAACTCTATCAGTTTATATTTGTAATTTGAATTCACTTGTAATCTACTATATGTTTATATTGTAACATATTTATCTTGTAATCTTTGTATAATAAAGTCAAAACCTCACTCATCTTCAATTGAGTTGAGCTTATGCAATCAATCTTTACAACCCTAGCTTAAATTCTTTCAAGTAAAGTATTGGAATCTTAATCAAGCGAATTATTAGAAATGGCGCATTGAATTCACTTGAAAGGGAACTGGATCTGGCTCACCTGATGACTGCCCAAAACTCACCATGTGCCCACGAGTCTTCATCGCTGCCAGCGATCCTTGAAAACAATATCTATTTGTAAGAATTCGTAGTCCAAAATAAATGTTATATATCAGATAATGTCGAATGCTCTTAACCAACTGAGTTAGAAGTCACTTGAGTCGATTTTGGAGTTGGTCAGGCATATATATGCAGCAACATATGAGTAAATCATGACACACTTATGGAGATCATAAGAAAAGTAAAACTTAAACCCCAAACGTATCCTTCCCTACTCCATCATAGACAACATCAACACCATTGTCGAAAGTTATTTCTTTCACACGAGCAACAAAGTCCTCTTTCTTTCACACAAACGCCATTGTATAATTTGAGTAGGCAGCTACCACCAGAATTGAATTTCTCATTTATTTTTTTCTGGGTAAAAAAAAAAAAAAGGTAAAAAGGAAGGTGATTGGAAATCACTCCCAAAAAGCGAAAAGCATTTGACTGAGGGGTAATTTGTTTGAGATCATGAAATATTTTTTATATTAATAAATGTTTTGACTCCGGGATTTGAATTTACTCTCAGAAAACATAAAATGACATTTTTACCTTCACATCATCAAACAAGGCTTATTGCTCATACTTCACACAACTATTGGTCTCCAGTCGAAGGAGGCAGGTGGTTTAACTGTAGCTGTTAACTATGATTCATGTGGACCAGTCCAGCCTGTTAAGGGAGTGGACCATGTGGGTAGGAACTACTATGTTATCTTGTTTTCTAAATTCTCTTTAGAGACAAACGGTGCACTCTTTCAAGGAACAACTGAAGAGAAAAAAGCATTGGTGGAAAATATTTAAATATCTCACAACGGCACGGATCCTATATACGGAGATATCCAAAACTTGCATATTCCTTGTTAGTAACATATCAATGAGATCTACAAGGGATATGGGAGTACATAAAACTCCTTCCATGCCAGCTTTTAAGCACAAGAATGGCTTGTAAGGGAAAGGTGTTTCTTGGAATGTCCATATGCTCCAGATGAATGGACGAGTAAGAGACCCGTACAAGCACAATCTTTGGTGAAAGCTATAGGCCGGTCCCCGTGCGCGGCGTACTTTGAGGTTTGTCTTTCTTGAATACTTTGAAAAGTCAAGGCAGTAGAACTAGCGCCAAAATTTCGGTTGGTCGAATGGATACATATATAAGGTTGGTTGATTAAGTGGCTCAATTGCCTATTCTGTGCTCAACCCTAGTTCCTCGACAGCACCTCGAGGTGCATTTAGTTGTCTTACATGAGACTAGGGATATTCCTCACTCCATGGCACCTCTCGCGCATTCATTCTTCCTACCCTTCCAGACGTGACACCCCTTATCATTATCATCTACCACCGTTTCTTTCCTCTCGGCTATTCATGCATGAAGATCGTCATATGTATGCTTGACTTCGGTTACCAGTGCTATAGGTAGGATTACATTATGGCAGATCAATCACCCGGGCAAACTAACCCTCCTCCAAGAAGAATTGTTTTGGTGACTTATTGTTTTACTTCCTGATCAATTTGAGTGAATACTTCATTGTGAACTTGGAAGTCTCTCAAGTCTACGTGTTGTGCACCTCGGTTGATATGAATTATGTAGGTACTAAAAGAGCATATGATTGCTATGTTATCCTTTGAGGGTGTACAATTAAAACACTTATGTGGAGCCAAAAATAATGTCAAAAATCATGGAGGCGACACATGTACTTTTAGCCAAAAAAAACAAGACTACCCTTATTAAATGAGCTGGGCATCCCAAGCGCAACTCAATATCCTAGGACTACTCAGAGCTCCACTGCACGTGGAAAAAGTCGAAGGTACTTAGTGATAGGATTATCCCTAAATCCTATCATAAATGCATTCCCAATTGAAGATAAACCCTATCAAGTAATTATCCCAATTATATTTGATTAGGGATAATTACCTTTAATTTCAAGATATTATTTACACAATATCTTGGGAACATTCTCACCAAAATCAACCATAATTGCTGGCCAATTCTCCTGTAAATACCCAATTTATCCACAAAAAAATGGTACGCCTTTTCTATGCACAGAAAACCTTAAGCACTCACTCTTATCAGAGAGACTAACTTAGCCATTGGGGATCCATTGGCCAAAACTGCCTCCTCCCACTCTTCGTGGACTCATGAGCTTTTTGGTCTTTGATCAAAAAGGTTTATTGTTTTGCAGGAACATTTTCGTCAAGACTGAAGACGTTGAAATTTGCATCGACAACTCATGCATGTAATTAATGCACGTAAAGAAATCAAACCTTAACCTAATGAAGCTTTAGCAGCAGCCATAGAAAGTATTGCACTGAGAAGAAAAACACTAAGTCTTCTATTAACTCCTAGCCGTATGACAATGCTCTATGAGAAGCTTTTGTGTCATGTGTTCTAGGGTTTATAAGGACCGATATTTATTAGTGTTCTAAAAAAAGCTCTAGGCGCTAGACAGCGGTGCTCCGCCACGATTAACCCAAAATCGTTTACTAAATCGGGAAAACTATTAGACAGCGTAAGGCGAATGCCTATGCGGCCTAAACGGATGCTGGGCGGGCTAGACGGAAGCTGGACGGTCTGGGAAAATATGACCGTCTACCCAGAAGCAAGCGAACGCTGGCCAATTTGGGTGCTCTGCGCCTCGCAGTCTTCTCTCCCCGAGTCTCGTCGTCTCCCTCTCGGTGTGACAATTGTATATGATACGACAGAGAGAGTATGGATCTGCAATTACAGATATGGTGATATGGCTGACGGCGGCAATGGTTTTTGCAGTAAGCAGCTTAGGGTTTTTTTTGGAAAAAATGTGAGTTAATGATTGGGAATCGGGAGGCTGGTACAAGTATCTTGGTTCTTTCATTCTAATAGGAAATATAGAATAATAAATGGATTAGATGGCTTTGGGTTTTTTGTTAGGGTCCATTGCGCCCATCTATAATGGACTGGACAATTCTATTCAAAGGTAAAACAAGGAATACAAGGCCCAACCTTACATTTTATTAATGAAAAAGGCCCAAAAAAATTTATAGGCTTAGAAAATGATACAAAAGGGCTAAAATTTTACATATTTTCTTACACATATATTTTTCTTTTAAAAAAAACATATTATTCAATGTTTATTTACATATTAGGTAGTAAGTTGAATTAATTTATATGATGGATAACAAAATTACTTAAATCCGCCTAATCTGCCAAGGCCCCCACCTAGGCGCCTAGGCGCTAGGCCCTAGCCCGCCGTTCGACTAGCATCTAGCGTCTTTTAGAACCTTGGTATTGATATAGGCTAAAAGCTAGGGCTTCCATCCATAAAAGAAACCCAAACTTACTTTCTTAGCTTCCAAGTTAAGTATCATAATCATATCCAATTAAGGTTTCCAACAATCCTACTTCCAATATAAAACACTCCATTGATATCTCTAGAGATCAAATCACAATTAATATTATTCTCTAATTATACATTCTTATTACATATATATATAAAGGTTGATTTATGTTGGATAAATCCATCATATTAGAGTTGTGGATTAAATCATTTACTTACTTGATATGCCTAGCCAGGAGCCTACGACCCGTATGAAGGACTGTTCACAGTTCCAGGTGGGGTTGTGAATATGACTGGTCCTCATGTTCTGTCTCTACAGATGGACTAGCTAGCTCCTTATCATCTTTGAGCAAGAAAAATCAAAGCTTTAATTATTCTGCATGAATTTTCATGCATTCATCGTATGGAATATATCAGAGTTTTTGGCCAAATTTTCCACATAAAATTTGATCTTCTCAACTTCTTAACATTGTCAAACATTCAACGAGAGTCGGACTGACTCATTCATAGGCATGGATTCAAAAACGTGTACGTTCTCCAGCCGTTGAGGATGGTTTAGAAAAAGGATGGTCAATAGCTTTGAATGTTCAGGGAGGAGTCTGGGGCATTGGTTGCTGCTGACCCAATAACATATAAAATTCTTTTTTTGAAATTTCATTTGACCTCTATATTAACTACGACAAATGAAGCAAGGAGATCTTTAATCAATATATTTTAAATTGACATCAACCAAAACTACATTAATTGTTTGTGTTTTGTTTCACTTAAAAAAATTAGCACGTTAATTCTCAAACAAGCTAAGGACTTATCAAACACGCAAACGCCTTCTCCACCAATATATATATATATATATATATATATATATATATATCCTAATTCAAAGCTTCTGTGGTGTTTAAGTTCATTCAGTCACTGTTTATCGCATTTGGTTGTATCACAAAATCCCAATCATATCAGTATTTCTCTCATCTTGGATTTATTAGGATTTTTAAGGTTTTTGTATTGATTGATTGATTGGGAATGAATTTTTTGCAGAAAAAATTTAAAAATTGGCAGAACAGTCTTTTTCCCTTCAACCGGATTACCATCGTGTGACTACCATCGTGTAGAGACAATTCAGTCATCATCTGACTACCATCGTGTGATTCACTATCGCTAAAAATCGAACCTATGACAAGGTGTGTGGAATGCGAATCTGAAATTGGTGAAGCATTTGTAATTTCAAAATTTTCCCCTCCATACATATTTATTTTTATCAAACCCTCCATACATATAACAATTGGAAAAATTAACTTAATTAATATGGGTAAAACACTAGTCTACCATTTTGGTCGCAATTAATTTGAAGAGTGAGATGGAGATCTTGGTGGTGTTGATTTAAAAAGGAGGCCTCCTCATCGGACGGTGTTGGTGAATAGCGCCATGCAGCAGTCAAAGGGTGTTGTGTGCAAACTCTGGTCATCTGGTACTTCTATTTATTAAAAAATTAAGATGAAAAAAAAGTGCAAGATAACTATTTTGAAGTGTCAGTAGCAATTATCTGAGAATTAAAATTAAGAAATGTGGTCAAGTTCTTCAAATCTAGTTGAATTTGCTAAACCATCACCTGTTAAAAGAGAGAGAGAAGAAGTTATAAACATTACCAAAATTGTATCAATCTTAACGAAGACATCAAAAAACAAAAATTGGAAAAGAAAATGAAAATTGTTTGAAATCAAAATCAAAATCTCTAATTGGGTGGCATGAAAGGGAAAAGGGAGAGACTCTCAGCAACAATAAAAATGAGTAGCATGGGAGAGAATTCATGTTATGTCATCTTCTTAATTTTATGAAGAAGAGAAGATGGACATAGATTGTGAGATCGCCCTCCCTACCACTCATCTTTACTGACCTCTGAGAGATTATCTCTCATTTCAACTTAGCAAGTTCTAAGAATGTATGTTGTGGTTACATGGCCTTAATTTATAGAAACTCAGGGGCACACAAGTTCATAATTCATGAACTCCATGTCACTCTCGTAACGCTACCAATCTCGAGAAAAACATGTGCATTCACGTGATAAGAGAGATGAAACGTTTAAATTTGACTTGACAATAAAGGAAAATAATTTAAGAGCCATAAGGGTTGGTGAGTAAGTTGTCAGTTTCCTTTTCCTTATGAGACCCATCAGGACTGGTGACTAGAGGCCTGATTTGATGTACTTGGATCTGATATCTCGTAGTTGGATTCACCTTGCACATTTTCCGGCCCAAAAAATTTTCACCTAATGTCCGACCTTATCATAAGCATATTTCAAAGCATGTGATATTTTATTGGATATCGTGCTGGATTTTTATCCATGCCTCGACGGTTTGATGTAGTATACTGTATATGCAATACAAGGAAAAAAATATTGTTCTCAATTCGTAAAGTTCTAAGTTTTGTTCATACAAATCACCCCTTTTTATGTCGATGGAAATTAATCGAGGTTCATTACATCGCATGTCTTTTGAGCACAACAGGTACAAGAAGTTTCAGAACCGGAAGGCGATGTTCCGTTCCTTATTCATAATTTTCTTCACACATACCGCAAAGCTTTTGAAATGAACAAACCAACTCGTATATGTTCGCTTCCGACCTAGGGTATAAGAACAATAGATCCAGATGTTTTCCTGTTCTCAAGGTCTGCGTGTGCCTGTGCTGCTTCAGATAATGAGTAGGTGTGATTCACTCGAACCCGCAATATACCCGATGCAACATTAGCAAATACCTCTCCTGCAGCCTCTAACAATTCCTCTCGAGTTACAGCGTAATGAAAGAGGCTAGGCCGAGTCAAGAAAAGTGATTTCGCGGCAATAGCTGATAACGGAACTGGATCAGGCGCACCTGATGACTGCCCAAAACTCACCATGTATCCCCGAAGTTTTAAGACTTCCAATGATCCCTGAAAACAATACCTCCCGATAAGAATTCATAGTCGAAAACATTACTTATCTATTAGATGATGTCAATGTTGGAGTTGAGTAGTTTGGATAAATCATGACAGCTTATGAATATAAGACAAGTATAACTTACCTCAAACGTATCCTTCCCTACAGAATCGTAGACAACTTCAACCCCATTGTTGGATGTTATTTCTTTCACACGAGTGACAAAGTCCTCTTCCTTGTATATTATGACGTGGTGGCATCCATCCTCCTTGGCCTGAGCTGCCTTTTCTTTAGTTGATACAGTCCCAATGACAGTCGCACCAAGGGCATTAGCCCACTGGCATAAAAGGGATCCAACTCCACCAGCTGCTGCATGAACAAGGACTGCGTGTCCAGGTTCGACCTGTATAACAAACGTCGAGTCAGATCTAATAACAGAAGCAACAAAGGTTTCAATTTTTCAAAACATTCATAAAATTAGGAAAAACGATGGCCATCATTAGGCATGCAATTGTAGAATGAAGATATGTTGAGATTAACAAAGCACTTCACTTTTCACACTTAGCTGTGATGCTTTTCTTATTTCTGTAGACTGTCCATCGTAACGGAAACAAATAGTGTACCACAAATGAAAAAGTGAAAGAGAAAAGGAATGGCAGTTTTCCCTTGTATCAGATATTTAAAGGAACAGATTAATAGAGAGAGAAAGCTTCTCAACTTCTATGAGTGCTCATGATTCGCACATGAAAGGGTTACAAACAACTCAGCTTACGTTGCCGAAACAGGGACAATAGCTAAAGTTGGTTTAGCGGTACACTGAATTTCATTTACTGATTTACATTTGCTGGCAGTGACCAGTATTATTAGTAACAAATATTCACCTTGACAGGAACAATGTGTGTATGAAACAAAGAGCTCTACAAAAACATTCTGCAATTCCACATTTATTTTCAAGAGAGATTAAAAAAAGCAGATGTGGGTACATGTGTAAAACTACCTTGAAACAGCGGCGTAGTAGAAACTGAGCTGTTGTACCCTTAAGCATGAGGGAGGCTGCAACTTTAGGATCAATGGAAGGAGGAACAGGCACAGCTCTGTTTGCAGGAAGGATCTGCTCTTCCGCATATGAGCCCATTTGCTGACCAGCATAGGCTACAAGATCTCCAACTTGCCTGCCCGTTAGACCTGGTCCCACAGCTGTCACAACTCCACAAGCCTCGACACCTGAAATCAGTTTTGGTTTATACATAAATAGGGTAACTAGTAACTACATCTGCAGTACCCGATAAAGTTTCAGATGTATATATACACAATCAAAATATCGGTGGGAACTGTTATCTGATTTCATGCTCTGCATTCTTGTTTTTAAGTTCATCCCAATCATTCCTAACCATTTGTCGAAATTTATACTCACCAGAGAGGTTACCCAAAATTTTTAATAAAATTTGGATACAAGATAATCTTGGTTGAAATGCATCTCCATAATCTCAAAAATGAATTTTATTCAACTAGTGAACTTAATGAAATGAAACAAAACCTGGGGTGTAGGGAAGCGTAGCAGCCTTATAAAGGCCTTTGCGGTAGTACACATCAATGAAATTAATCCCGATGGCCTCATTCTTCACACGAATCTCGCCCTCCTTTGGCTCCCCTACTTCCACATCTTCCCATTTCAACACCTAACATGATCACATTGCAAAAGTAAGAAAAACGATTGGGAATTATTGGCATAAACTAATAACCAAAGCAAAACTTTAACGAAATGGATATCGAATAATCAGCATCAAAGGAGTATAAATCGTTTTCGGGTCCAATGGCCCGCTTATGTGAACGATTATATAAGAAAAGCACTTGATATGGCACTATAAACTCTCTACCAGACAGTATAAATTGAAGCTTATCATCTATCAACAAGCATGCTCACTTCCAAATAAATTATCATAGCACAGATTAGAAGCAATTCTCAAATTCAACGAGTCAAAATTACAAACAATAAAAACAACTCAGAGGCTTCTTAATTAAATTGGGCTGATTCTGTTTTTCTCATACAAATCAAAGCACAACTCAGAATTCCAATTCGTAAACAATATATGTAGAGAGAGAGAGAGAGAGAGAGAGAGAGAGACCTCAGGGCCACCATGTTCGTGGATTCGAATGGCTTTGACCATCTTTGCTGCTGCTGGTGATGCTGCTGCTTCAGTGGCAACTGATCTAACTGCTCCTGATGATCTCTGGGTCCTGAAAGGTAAACAATTGATGAAATTGTTGCCGGAAATCTGTGAAAAAAGTGTGAATTTTGGAGCTGGCAGCAACTGGAAGTGGGGCGGTGGACTTGTGATTAAGAAATGGGTTAAACTTAAACCGCGGTTCTGGAAGCCAATTGGAAGTAAACCCATTTCGGTTTTGACGCTGCCGATTTGATTTGTCGTACATCGGAATTGTATCCAGTCTGAGATAGCGGCCAGATGAAGAAAGGCCACCTGCAGGGTTTTGTTTCAGCCCAAAAGAATGGCAGGCCCAATCATTTTGGAGGGAATGTCCCTTGAGGATGGACACGTGGGTGGCCATGATTGTGACACGTGGGTAGTTGAGGGGAGACCGATCAAATCTCGTGTGTACTGTACGGAATGTGGATCACTCTCAACTATATTTCAAGAACAAGGAAAATAAATTGTACTTGGTATCAAATGTTTTTTTTTAGTACATTAATATTTTTACATTAGAAAAAATAAGGAGTTCAGCTAAACAACACAATGAGCAGCCTAATTTGATATCGAATTCGACATCCACGATATTCAAACCTAAGACCTCTTACTTTTAAACGAAAAAGAATACAAACAGACTATAGTACTGAATGGCTGAATGTACATTAATGTAAAGATGCAAACTTTCAATATGTGACAAATGTGAGTTGTGGCATTAAGCCATAGTACGTAACATTACAACGTAAAACGTTACTTGATAAATTAGACGTACCAATTTATGTATAACTCATGATTCATGGTCCATGGGAGTATGGGACAATCCACCTCAATATATCCATATAAGAACAATCCTCTCTCTCTCTCTCTCTCGCTCTCTCTCTCTCTCTCTCTCTCTCTCTCTCTCTCTCCATTCCGTTACCCTCCCGCTAACAACTTTCATCCCATCACAACGCCTACGCGCCAAACCCAACGTCACCCCAAACAGATCCAACGGGCAAGAAATTCCAACCCCAACAACCAAGAAACACATCCGACGCTCCACGTTAAAAACTCAGTTAGGCAACCAATCAAAACGCCTATCATTCAAAGTCACTGTTCCTCCGGTTTCCCACGCGCCAAGACAAACGCGCGTGAAGAAGCCGCCGCGCGCGAGATTATCGGGTTCATGCAGCAGAACGCAAAGCTCAGCAGAGGCAAAACGACGTCGAGTGTCCGCAGCGATCTCTGTATTTATGAGATTGCAGACAAACAAACCCGCATGAACGTCCGAATAATGCAGAATCGAATTTACCCAGCGGTAAATTCTGGAAGGTTGTTTGGGTAAATCGGTCTGCATCCCGCAGGCTTTATAAATATCTACTGCGGTGAAAGTGTGTGAGCTTTTGGTGGAAGCTTGGGTTTTTAACTGAGTGGTGATTTCTCTGTGGGAGTGTGAAAAGAGTGAGCTTTTCCTTCGATTTTCTTGGAGAGGATGAGCAAGTACGTGGAGAAGAAGAAGCAAGTCCAAAAAAAGCCAGAATGCAAAAGCACTTTTTTGGCCACACATGCGCTGCTCTCCTCTGCTTCTGCTTCTCCTCCTTCCTCCCCCGTTTCTTCGCTCGGTACGTACTTTCATCGAACACATTGTCTTCATCTCCTTACCGTTTCGTTTTCATTTTTTTTCCTGATGTGATGGTTTCTTTTGTGTATTTTGCAGAGACTATCGAGCACATTAAAGTCGGCTGTTTCTACCAAATGGACCAATCCAAGCTCCATGGAAGAACAGTACCAGAGCAGCTCAGGGCCGTACGGATCGTCATGGTACTATTTCATATTTTCATTACCCATAAAACCTACTGATAATTTTCGCCATTGTTCTTGAATCTGGTTTATATGTTTCAGTTTTTTATTTTTTATTTTTGTTGGTTTCAATCAAATGGAGTTTTTTATTTGGGGTCGTTTGATATGTATACAGGTGAGTGCGAAGGGAGCGTTTAAAGTGGCGGTGAGGTTTCCGAGCCTTCACTCTCTCCACGCTCATATTCCCGCAAAGGGGTATCTAAAACCAGAAGCCAAACAGATTCCGGCGCTCAACGAGAAGTATGTGATGTCCCCGGAAATAGCGTCGGAGGTGCTTTACCGGAGAATCCCACCTCAGGAGATGGTAGATCGGAGCAACATTTGGAGCTTCTGGGCCGTTCAACCTCCGTTGAAGAATAACCCGAGAAGCACGTTGTCGAGCCCAGCAGTAAGTGGCGGAGGCGGAGCCATTGCTAGCAGCGTGGTTCCTAAAAAGGGTCCGTGTTGGTCCGAGCTCACGTTCGCCGGAATAGTGAAGTGGGGCAAGCGCCGGCAAATTCGCTACCTCCGCAGGCACGAGTCGTCACCTAGCTCTGGCTCTGACGATGAAGAAACGGAGAAGGGAAAGGAGGTAATGGAGCTGGAGGAAGATAGCGATGATGGTTTCACTGAGAAAGTAGTAACTGTGATAGACGAAGACGATGGCATTGAAGAAGAAGAAGAAGAAGAAGAAGAAGGTGAGGAGACAGAGGAAGAAGCTGCTCCTCATGTTCTGCCATGGAAGATGAACCTCCGGAGTCGGAAGCGGAAGCGTCCCGATAATAAGAGAAAAATCAAATCTCCAACCCAAAAGCGATCAAAATCCAGAGCAAAGCCTCCGAATCAGAATAACCATATTGTAGCAGTTCCTGATCGCAGCAGCAGAAAATTGGCTAAAGTTAAACACACAGTAGCAAGATGGTCAGCAGGAAGGTGAGAATGAGATTAATACAGTAATATCATTAATTGGGTTTAATAATCTGTTAATTATATTAACTGGGTCGATTTTTGGGTTTAATAATCGTGGGTTCTTGACTTGATTTGGGTTTTTTGCAGGTACAAGCTGGCGGAGGAGAACATGTTGAAGGTGATGAAGGAGAAAGGGGCGGCGATTGGGAACCCAATACGGCGGCCGGCGCTGAGAGCGGAGGCTCGGAGGCTGATTGGAGACACGGGGTTACTGGATCATTTACTCAAACACATGGCGGGCAAGGTGGCGCCCGGCGGGACGGAGAGATTTAGGCGGCGGCACAACGCCGATGGGGCCATGGAGTATTGGCTGGAGAGTGCTGATCTGGTCCACATCCGGAAGGAGGCTGGGGTTCAAGATCCTTACTGGACCCCTCCGCCGGGGTGGAAGCCCGGCGATAGTCCCACCCAGGACCCCACTTGTGCAAGAGAGATTAAGAAGCTCCGTGAAGAAATTGACAAGATTAGAAGGTAGTTAAACACGTTTTAGTCTCTTAATTATGGTATTTAGTCTCTTAACTGTTCGTGACACACTCTGGATTTTTACAGGGAGATGAAGGAGTCCAAGCAGCAAGGGAATGCTGGTTTGGCTATGGTGACCGCTTCAAATTCTAATTTGACCGGTGTTGACTTGGATCGTGACGGTTCATTAATCCAGATTAAGGTTGTGACTTTGTTCATGATTAAGTTTGATTATATTTTCTTAATCTTGATTAAGTTCTGTACTGAATGCTTGATAGGGTTTTATCATTTTTGCAGGAGGCCTGTGCAGAGCTAGAGAAGAAGATAGCTAAGATGGATGAAGAAAGGATGGAGTTTGTGACCAAAAAAGAAGAACAAATGATGGAGGTTACTCAATCTTTGTCCGGAATTAAGGTAATTAATTGACCCCCTAATTATCTTAATTATGTCTGCCTTAATTGCGTTTAATGAATGCATTGATTGGCGGAGGTTTAAATGTTAATGCAGGAGAAAATCAGGATGTTCGAATCAGGCAAGGAAGATGCAGTCACAATTTCAGGAGCACCACCACCATCGGAAGCAAAACCAGCCGGTGAGAAGAAAGAAGAAGATAAACTAAGCGGCGGAGACAAGGCGGCTGCGGCGGCGGAGTGCAAGGCGGCAAAAATAGAGAGGCTGAGGAGTGGGTTCAGGATATGCAAGCCGCAAGGCACGTTTCTCTGGCCAGACATGGGCAGCCCCACCAACATTCCTAGTCCTTCTTCCCAGATTCTGGCCCCACCACATGACCTCTTTGTGGTCCCCACCCCACCCTCATCCTTCTCCTTCGCCCCCAGCCCCCTCATCAGCCCCACCACTCCCCCTGTGAAGCCGGTGGCTGAGCGGCGCCCCGTGACCACCACCACATTGTGCAATGTGACCACAATACCCTCTTCAACTCCTATTGTCGCTCCTCCACCTGTCCTGGCCCCAGAGACCCAGAGTTCCACTACCGTCACCATCAGTAAAACCCTACTCATAAACCTCAACGAGCTCCCTGCAACAACAGCACCAAACCCTAACCCTAATCCCCAAACCAGCTGTGAAGCTATCACTACCCTCACCACCTACCACAGAAGACATCACCATCTTCTGCCACGTGTACGTCTCTCGCCCCCTTCTCCTTCTTAATTGATCATTTCCTCAGCCCTAATTATCTAATTAAATTAAACTAATTACATTATTTTGTGTGGAAATTAATGCACAGATGGTGAAGGAGGAGGAGGAGGTGGAGGTGGACGAAACTGCAAGAAACGGTGATGATCAGCAGAGGCGGTGCGCCTCTCCTGCTTCTACGTGGAACGGAGAGAAATGGTGGATGGCTGTGGGAACTCCTAGCACTTCTATGGAGGGTTGATTTTGGACCGTTGGATCCATCTAGCAGCGGGAGCTAAATATATATGGGGTATACTTTATAGGGCTACTTTATAATTATAGGAAATTGGCGGGTATAGAAATAACTGTATCTAGGTATACATCATGATTAGGGATTTTGCACTATAGTCCAAAAATTAGGTTTTTTGCTGGCTTTATTCTAAAATTGCTGGTATGCCGTTTTGGACTCGGATAAAGATTGGTTTTGTCCAAGTGAGAAAATCAAAAGGAGGCTAAATTTTGTCACACACGTGTGAGTGTGGGTAATATGATTAATATTTCGTATAATAAGGCAATGATATGTGTCTTTTTTATGAATGCTTACTTTTAACTACGACTTTCAAATTCGATTTTATTCTAACTTTGTTTCTGTAATTAAAAAATCATTACTTTACTCTTTAAACCGCAAAATTTTTTCCGATTTGTCTCATGGAACTCAATTTTGGATGGGGAGCCTCCTTAACCGCTTGCAGTTGACAATTTGAAAATGCTAAGCTTTGGAATTGCATCTTCAACTTCCAACTCTTACAAATTTTCCAACGATTCAAGTTCCAGAAACACGAATTGGGGAAGGCCGTTGGAATTGAAGAGAACTTCAGTTTCTTCCCTTGGTAGGAAGAAGTGTTTAGCCTGAGAACAAATAGATAAGGCGAATTTGAACCATTTTATTGCTAGTCTATTATGAGACAAAATCCACCCCCCACCCTTTTAGTGTTGATAATATAATTTGTTAAAAATAAAAATAAAAATCTCTAAAAGCCTAAGAGCCTATTTGGTATCTTATTTGAAATTTTTTATCATTTCTCAAAACATTTTTTAAGAACATTTATTGAAAACAATTTTTTTTGAGACTCAAAAACTTGATTGGTTTACGATTTAAAATTTTTATATTTTACGACTTAAACTAAACAAAGAGATCTAAAATGAGAGGGTCGCATGAGATGGAAAAAGAGGAGAGAGGAGGAAAGAAAGTAAGAGATGATTAAAGGAAAGAGAAAAAAGAGAGAAGATCGGACAAGATATAGAGGAATATGAGTGAGAGAAAAAATGAAAAGAGTGGATTGGATGAGAGATGAAAAATGTGTAAAAAAAGAAAAAAAAATGAGAAAAGAGAAAGAAAAAAAGAGAGATAAAATTGGAGTGAGATGAAAGAAGGGAGAGAAAAGAAAAAAAAAAGTTTTTAAGTTTAAAAACTCTAAAAACTCTTTTTTATTTTATTTTAGATAACAAATTATATTTTTGAGTTAGTTTTAAATTCAGTTTTTGAAAATAATCCTACCAAACAAGTTTTTAAGGCCGAAAACTTGAAAATTATTTTTGAATTTAAAAAGTTGAATTCAATTCTTTAAAATAGTCATACTAAACAAGTTTTTAAGGTCTAAAACTTGAAAATTGTTTTTGAGTTTAAAAAATTAGATTCAAGTAGAGTACCAAATAAGTTCTTAGATGTTTGGTTTAAGAAATTCAAAAACCAAGAATCTAGATCAAAATGCCATTCTGAAGCAGCTGGGGTGTCACAAATTTCAGTTTCTTTCTACGGTAACAAGAAAGGTTTTAGCCCGAGACTCATGCGTGTAGGGCAGCTTACTTAATGACGCAGCCAACAGAAGAGAGTTGAGAAAGTGATGGGAACACAGCCGTCGACAGACTACAACGACAGCCTTGGCCAAGGAATCGAAAAGTTGGTAACGTCCAAAGACATCAGAAAAGTGTCGACGATGACCATAACACCGTCACACAAGATTATCTGTGTATCCATTTACGTGTTATGATATGAGTAGAAGACTGATTCATATTACCAGGTACCCAAGAAACTCATTGTATCACATCAACTTCAACATAGTATATATTCATAGGCTTGCAGGACCATGAGGGAACCCCATAATATATGTCCCAGATCCATATCTCAAACAAAACCAAAGCATAGTACTCTACAAATTATATGTCGGTAGAATCCATATCGGAGGTACATCGGTCTTGCTCATCAGAGTCCCAGCATCTCTGTGGAACGGATTTTCTAAAAGCCTCCGTTCCTCGACGCTGTAGATGCCATAATCAAAAGCTCTACTTGGTCCAAACGCAGGATGATCATGAATGAAGTATATGCAATTTGCTCGATATCCCGACTCTGAAGCACAAACAGATATTGAAGAGCTTTTTCCCAGAAACAAAGCAACGTCACCTAAAGTGTTCTTCTCCGTCCACTCACCCTTGCTGATATTTAGTTCAGAGACTTTGAATCTTTTTGTCTTTGTCCCATGATAGTCATAACGCGCCATGTACCTTCGAACCATCAGTATTGTTTTCTCATTACAAACCACAAGATATTCCTTGCGCATATAGTCCACATCGAGCACATATTCGCGAAAAACCACTTTTTTCACAGGTGACACAGACTGAGTAGTAACATCAAAAGAATAGAGTTGACGGAAATGATCAACAAGATAGAATCTGTCTTCAACTTTAAGAACTTGAACGATAAAAAACCTTCTTCGCTCAACCGTTTCCGTTTCAGGGAAATAAGTCCAATTACTGTCTTTGTTAAGTCGAATAAAAGCCAATTTCGCAAACATGACCATAACAATGCAGTTGTCGGCATTTAGTATTGGATCTTCTGAAATTGTAGCCTCGTAGACCAAAAAAAATCCATGATGAAGCTGATTCAAATCTGCAGGGCTTACCGGAGGAAGGCGAATTATTGACTTTTCATGATCTCTTCTCCCTCCAACACCAAAAAGGAATGGATTTATCAGCGACACAACACGTTTCTCATCCACAACAATTAACCATCCTTTTGACGACCCACAGAATCGTTGCCTTCGCAAATTCAATTGGGTTTTAAGAACCTTGTCATCCACCGGATTGTATAAATGCCACTCATCTTTCTCTGCATCAGCAGAAATCAAGATCATAGGGGCTGTCGTGACGGCACAATGGGTCTGTATATCCTTTGCAGCCGAACGCCATGACCTGCAAACAAAGCTAAATTCTTTTGGTGTCTCCAGTCTCTCTACAACTAAATTTAAAATCTCTCTCGGCAACGCAGCCCAATCTGACATGAACCAAAAGAAAAAAAACACTAGTCAGCCGAGCTGATGATGAAGAATTAGACCGACGTTCCTATATTCTTTGATCAGCATGTACCAGTTCACAAACTAAACAGATATCAAGTTAAAGCTATAAAACCCTAATTGAACACAAACTAAACAAATTGATTTATCGATTCTAAGACAGTAGAATTTCATCAAAAACCAAATAGCTTCAATAAGAAAACGTACCTCGATCCATAGATTCTAACTCCACAGCAAGAATTTTTAGTATTTTATTTTATTTTATTTTCAGGGAAAATCAGAAGAAATTGAAGGCGGCCGCTGCCGCTCCCGCTCCGATTAGGGATTCATATTGCCTTCCGGAGCGTGGGATGCCTCAGCCTTCAGAAAAAAAAAAACAAATCAACCAACAGTACAACGAATAATAAAATAACGACACCTGTCCTTTTTTAAATCTTCCAAACACTTAACCAAATGTCCTTTATTCCCGTAGCCAAACACTCACCCTCTTCCTCGCCATAGCACACAATCAGACAAACACTTTCATTTTCATATCTTAAAAAATCATGGCAATCTAACTGTGGTGGAAGATTCCATTTCCAGAAGCCCAATCTGGTAATCCAAAAATATGGGTTCCTTGATTTTCATACGGAGAGGACGATGGCTCGTGGGGTTGGGTGCTCTTGTTTTCACGGTTTTCTACTCTTACGTGAGATCCAGATTTTACAACGATGAAGGAGCCATGAGTTCCGGCGAGGGAAGGTGGCTGATGGTGGTGCTGAAGGCTCTGATCTGTGGTGGGAGACGACCGTGGCCGATGGTGGTGGCCTGGTGGGAGAGGACTGTGGTTGGTGCCTAGTGGTAGTGGACCGTTGCCGGTGATTGTGCAGCGATGACGATGGGAGAGGACCGTCGCTGATGCTAGTGGCTTAGGCCATCTCCAAGGGGGCTGAAAATAGCCCGAAAATCATCTACAACCGAGGGATAAGGCAGAGGGTTTGTGGATCCTACGAAATCTGAAAAGGTCAAAGGGTCAACCGCTCCCAAGGGAGCCAACCAAGCAACCCTCGGGCGGGTTAGGAATTTAAGACTTGTTGTTAGATATAACAAACAACATTTTTATTAATCCTATCGGTTATATCTAACAAGAATTCTTAAACAAATTTTTGAATCCAACGGCTACCTGATGTCATTTATCGTTGGATTCAAAATTGATTTTATTTGGTTTTTTTTGCCTTTTTTTTTAAATTATTAAAAATTCTAATTTTTTCCTCTAAATACCTAAATCACTCATTCATCATTTCTCACAAATTTTTCACCATTTCAATTCTCATATTTTCTTACCACTTTCAAAAATATTTCCTTCAATTATTTTAATCATTTTCAAATGCCCTCGTCAGCAATAAAAGGTAGGGTTTGGACCCGAAAAGAAGATGAAGCTTTTTGCAGGGCTTATAGATGGGTGTCGGAAGATAGTGTGAGGGGGGGTTCTCTAACAAGTGAAGGTTTTTAGACTTGTGTGTCCAAAAAATACTTGGAGTTCTACGAAGGCACCACTCCACTGAATGTCTGAAACCACGAGAGTTGTTCTTCAGATGGAAAAAACATCTTCACCCAAATTTGAACAAATGACATCAAGCACTGTTAGCAGTTGCAAGTAGACATGAAAGTAGCGCTAACTACTGCGATGAAGTAAGTGTTTTCAAAATTTATTTTAAATATTTAATTATATTACATTTAATTTCATGAATTTACTTTCCTTTAATTTTTGTAAATATATTTAATTATATTTCATTTAATTTCATGAATTACTTTCCTTTAATTTTTGTAAATACATTTAATTTCATAAATTAATTTCCTTTAATTTTTGTAATTATATTTTTTAGGTACGCCAAGCGGATGAATTGTATATGAAGGGCATCTCAAAACCCTTTCAGTTTCACGGTTGTTGGGAAATTTGTAAAAATTGAGTGTTATTTGAAGATCCACCTCAACATAGAGTAACTCCTACGCCGGTGTTCGGAACTGCATCCTCAGCTGCAGATATGGATGAAGATGGATCTCCTACCATTCAACAAATAAGGGAAGAAAATTTGTCTTCGGGTGAAGGTTCCATTCCTAGGGCAATGGGACGAAACAAGGCCCGAAGTTTGAAGGAAAAGGGCAAGGCAAATGATGATTACGCCGCTCAACAGGAAGTGACGGTCTCCTTGCAATTAATGGCAGAGCAATATGCCATTGCTGCGGAAGAAATGAACCGTAGGCATAAAGAACGAGCCAAACAATAACAAGAAGAGATGGATGATAAAAATATGGGAAGGAACACTTCGAATTACACTCCAATGAGTAAGGCCTATTTTGATATGAAAATATATATATATATATTATGACCCGATGGCAGTTGTTTATCTCTGACTATACTCCTACACTGGCGAATGATGAAGATGATGTTGATTATGGATATTAAATTTAAGTTGTTATATTTTTAAATTTAAGTTAATGTTGTTTTTTTGTGACAGGGCTAAAACGATCTATATGGCCCATTGGGCTTCGGTTGGAGATGGAGGCAAATATGATCATGTATTGTTCATTAAAATATTAATATCTTGAAGGACCAGAGGGTTAGTTCAGTTGGAGATGATCTAAGATCTCAGTGTACTTGGTGTGAATGAAGATAGGCGTTTGGCTAACACAATAGTGAATGTTTGGCTAAATAATTGGTTAAGAATTTGAAGATTAAGTTTTGCCAAGTGTCTTTATTTTATTGTGCCACATAAGATAGTGTGCATATTGGGTACTTCTCAGAGAATACCCAAGTATTATCTTTAGTAAAAATGCATGCGCACTCCGTTGCGAGTTTTGAATCCATAACCACAATTTAACACACTAATTTTTAAATTATTTATAAACCAATCAAAGCAGCTGAATCTATATGATAAAATAAGTCTTTTAGTTACATCTACATTCTATTGAATTTACATTAAAAGCCTATGTCAAACAAAATGACGTATCCCAGCTATATACAATCTCATGAGTTTTTCACATGAATTGGAGAATGATGGTTGTTTAATTGTACCTAAAGTGCAGTAGTAGTTGTCGGTGATGTGGCTAAAATGCACCTGCACAGAGATTCAAAATTGAGTCATGATTCCCTGTACTTGTAGCACAAGTAGAAAAGGAGGTGCTGCAAGACAATCTATTAGTGATAAATAACTCTTATCAAAGCTCTACTAAGAATTTACCACATGTTTCACAATGACTTCATGCATATATACTTGCAGAAGCGTGGATTATACCTTTTCATCTTGGATTTGAGAACTTGGCGTCGTCTTCGATCTCGAGGCTTCTACTCAGTGAATACATACATGTGACAGTCATCTTCTATTTTTCCCTAATGTACTATCATCGGAGATGAAATTCAAGACAGAAGGTGAAAAAATTTACTTGTGAGTGTGTCGGCACCAAGATCAGGAGGTTTGGCATCCTGACTTGCAAGAGCTCCATTTATGAAGAGCAGCGAAGATGGAGGGGCGGATCTGACCATGGCACGATTTCAGGAACCAAAATCAACCCTAACCCCCATTTTGGCACCCCTACTCCTCCATCTCTCTCCCTCTGTACTAAAAGTGATGAATCATAGATCAAAAACCCAAAAACCAAAAGCCAAAAGCCAACGATTAAAAAAAGCGAAAAATCTATGAGGAATGAGGATGCATTGCTCTCAGTTGGTAAGCATCAAACCACCTGTATTCTGCAACATTTCAAATTTTCAATTCTCTTCCTTTGTTTTGTTTATGCAAAGCATAATAGAAGAAACGACATACATTTATGTTTTGCATGTTTGCCGCTGATGAACACAAGCCAAACGACAAGCCGTTTTAGGATGTCCTCATCGTAGGTTCACCGGCTTCATTGATGCCGGCTTGTCGTTTGGCTTTTGAACCTGCATGCAACAACGGACATCATAAGACGGTGACATACCACCTTGTAAAAAAAAGATAAATGTTATCTTTTTTCTCAATGAGCTTTAAGTTTAGGTTCTTCACAACTTATTGGCGTTACAAGTTGTAATTAAACTATGACTCCTAATTGATAAAGATTGAACGGTATTTTGGTATGCCAAAGGCTTTTTTTTGACTGTCCCCAACTTGATAATTACCATATGTCCAATCTATTAAGTGTGAGGTTTTATCACAAAAGGTTTCAGTATTAGTTAGAGTGGGGTAATCTTATTTAAAGTCATAATCGTTAACACCGACGTGGTATAACCAACAGCAGGTGTATCATCGAATTTATTATTTCGTGTTGGTGAAGAAACTAAGAAATTGGCAGTCACTCTTTAGGTGGTGTACCATATTGTCTCCTTTGTGTACTGTCTGTAAAACAACTTTTAAGGATCTTAACCCTATTGATAAGCGATATCTCGCTTAGACCGGCTAATTTAGCTATGTATGCTTTGAAAGAAATAAAAGGCGATATATGTTCATGTATTTTACTTTTTCTACCATAACAACATCCCTATATATAGATGTACATTTACAGTAGCCGAGTAAACTGGTAGTGATCCACCTCTTTCTGTGTTCCTCAATCTTACACTCGCAGATCTCTGCATCTAAACAAGTAGAAGGAAAAAATGACAAGTTTCCGCTTCACGGAGACCCTTATGGCGATCGCCCTCTTCTTCTCTACAGCAGCTGGAAATCCTTATGTGAGTGCTAATTACCTACTTATAACGTTCAGCTAATCGTTGTCGTTAACCCCTCTATCCTACACACAGTATGAATTATATATATATATATATGTATGTATGTATATGTATGTATGTATGTGCAGGACAAATGTGTGTACACAATTTATGTAAAGACGGGATCGATCATCAAGGCAGGCACAGACTCAAAGATAAGCATGACCCTCGGTGATTTCTCCGGCCGGTCTGTATGGGTGCCGGATCTTAGGTCATGGGGCCTAATGGGGCCACACTACGACTACTTTGAGCGTGGCAACCTGGACGTGTTTAGCGTACGTGGTCCATGCATGGATGCACCAGTGTGCCGGCTCACGCTCACCTCCAACGGGTTTGGTGCACACGCCGGGTGGTACTGCGACCATGTGGAGGTTACTGCCACGGCGCCTAACACTGCATGTTCGAAATCCATATTCTATGTTCAACAATGGTTGTCCAACGATGTTGCTCCATATCAGATGACTGCAACTCGCGATGCATGTAATCCGTGGAATGTCAATGCCGGTGCAGATCAGCGGGGGAAAGATGGGAAGTTTGTTGTGGAGTATCCCAAGAGATATGCTTGATTGTTATTTGTTGGGATGAATAATGACTAGTTGAATAGAAGTATTTAATTTGGTGCTTTGGTTTGTCGGGATTATTTATTTTTTATTTTTTATTTGGATCCGAAAATGTTTTGTTGTTCTTTTCTACTTAGAGGAAATGGTCCTGATCTGTAGTTGGGAGTTTGTTTTTTCGGAGGCTTAATTATCATTAATCTATGAAAAATTAACAATGTTGATCTCATTTTGTTCATTCACTATTCCAAATACAAGTTAGTTCGCTTCACCATTCACGGGTAAACTTAATTTTGGTCACTGACATTGATGTGGTAATGCTCTAGGTTCGATAGTGTAAAATGTGAACTACTTGATTGTGGCCATAAGTAAGGTGTAATTCCCAACTAGCCTCCTTTAGGTCCGAAAGGAGTGGTAATCGTGTATGACCTAAATCCATCTGCTTTTCAGTGGTCATATATGTCAATACGTGAACAAATAAATTTGTATATTATTTGATGTGGCAAGTGAAGTGTACATATCATGTCAACGAATGAATTTATTTTATTAGACGATTGTATACATCATGCATTACTTGTCTCATACAATGGTACCCCAATATGGTATAAATATGTGGTTTCCCCAACATTACTCCTGTAAAATAAGTCAAAATTTAGTGTTCATTTATCGGACTACATATTTGTTATCCACATACATAGAGCCATTCCATGAAAAGGTTCTTGTGTAAGGCCATCGACTGTGGTGAGCCATAGGTGTGCTTTGAGAGGGAGTGATACACAAAATGAGGCCGAATGAATGAACCTAACAAAATCAAGTTGTGGGGGTAGAGTGTGGTTTTTGAGTCTTTTTGATCCGTAAGGACACATGGTCTGATCCAAACCCAGAAGAATTCCTCCCTTGCAAGGCCCTTTACTCCCATCCTTATAATTCCTCTTTCACTTATAAGTGAGAAGTTTTAAGTTCAATTTTCGTTAAAGGTGAGTTTGAACCACATTATTGTTGGCTCTTGTGAGGATATGCCCACACCCTCTCCTTAGTATAAATAATATCGTTTGTTAAAAAAAAATACATGTATGGCCAGGCGGGCAAAAGTTTGTCTTAAAATAATCAACACTTTATGTCTTTGACACCATATTGATCATATCCATATTAAAGTTGAACTTAAAGAATGATCTGACAAAAATTAAGGGCATTTTTGTTATATTTCTTATTTAATGGAGATTTTGCATGAAATGACTAAAATGATTGACGATGGACAAACTCAGGGACCAGTTTATCGCTTTTAAACCTTTGGGACCAAAGTGAGGAGTTATGTCAATCTTAAGAATTATTTTGGCTAAAAAGCCAATCAATAATTAAGTGGTCTTTCATGTTAGCTTTAAAATATTTCTTAAAGAAGAATCATCACAAAAAGCACTCGAATTCAAAACAATTTATGAATTGTTCGAAGGTGTTTTTAAGGAATCGCTTGAAGGTGTTTTTAAAATTGCTAAAAGTATTTCTAATGAAAATTTTTAAAACTATTTCTTAGTAGATATGCAAGTGAATTCTAGAAAAGCACTTGAAGTGCTTCATGAAACATGCAATAAGCACCAGTTATCCATCTAACCAAATGTTTGTTATTTTGGTGTTTGGGTACTATTTCAAACTCATACCTTATCTTTGAAATATTACAATTTAATACACAGTCATTTGATTTAGTTGCAATATCATACCTTCATCATATCATTTGTTAAATTAACCGTTAAGTGATGACATATTAAAAACATAGTCACATTTTTGTTAAGGTGGATGCCAATTTTCACAATGTGAATAAACATTAAAAAAAAGGTTTAATTAATAAAAATTATTAAACAAAATTAAAGATTAAAAATGGGGCCCACCCCTTCTTCTCAATCATCCTTAGGACCACCCACACATAACACATCCGATGCCCCCTTCCGCCCCGAACTTCTCAGTTCTGTTCGCACGACAATTGCAGCTATGCCTTTTTTTTTTTGTATTCCGATGGAAACCCACGTCAGTTTCTACTCCCTTAGTCTCTCTGATTATCTTCTTTTCTTGCTTAAATAATGATCAAAATCAGATTCTGAATCTCACATCGATTTTGATTTCAAAAAAATTACTGAAAACTGATGTGAGATTCAAAACCCCAAAATTTTGTTCATATTTTTGCAACTTTTACTCATGAATTATTTGTTCTCAGTAGGTCTTTAACCGTCAGGTCTTCGCTCTTCAACCTTTTATGGATGCTGCAACCAATAAAGATCATAACTTTCGTCCGACCTAGGACGCAAAGTTTCCTTCCTTAATGGTGTCCCCAAGGTTTCTCACCTGAAGATGAATTTACGACCCATACAACGGTAGTTCTTTCCTGATTCTTTATAATTTTCTAGATGGTTGAATGGGATAACCTGATCCGTTTCATTCTCAACATCGTATCCGCCACTTCAACCATTTTCATCTCGATCATTGCAGTAAAAGAAATGCTTCATAGAGCAACAAAGTGAAGTAATATGAATCCATGATAAACCAAACAAATATGAAATGAAGTTCGTGTTCAATTGACTGCACAATATGAAATTACATCTCTCACTTCGGTAATACAAAGCTTCATTATATAAGAGCAGCAAAGAAGTAAATAACTGTTTCAATATGAATAAAATAATACTTCCTATAATTCTCAAATGACTGCACAAATAGAAGTTTTTTATTTTAATTTCACTTATGGCCCAACGGGCTTAGTACATGTGTCACATAATCCTTCGTTACCATTCACAACAAGCATTGTTCAATTAAGGCATTAACTGTCACTTAATACTACAATTTAGTGGTATTCTTTTTTACTTGTGAGTAAAAAGTTTGTGGTTTGATTCTCGCCAAAAGAAAATTTGAATCATATTATTATCGCTAGTCCAATGCAAGATTTAACCCACTTCCCCACCGCTTAATGTAGATAAAACCATCAGTTCAAAGAGAAAGAAAATCAAGGCACGAACTTGTAAAAGAAAGCAACCTATCATTTTATGACAAGGTTAATTTTGAGCCCCAAAATTTCAGTAATCCCATCTCTTCCTAAATGCATTAGAAACTAAAGGGGATTTAAAACCACTGGAGCCCTTTATCATATCCAATTCTCCATGGTATTAGATTTTGGTCATTTTCCAGCAGTATGTATTGTATTTGAATTGTTTTGTTTGATTTGATTTTTTGTGCGTCAATTGATTCGAGCATATGAATTACTTTGACAAAATAGAAAGAAAAAATAGAAAGTTACAAAAAACAGTGGTAGGGAGGATGTTCAGAAGTTTTGTAATTTGCTTCCATAAAGCATAGATTCTCGGTGTATTATTTCTGATGAAAAATAATAATAATTAGTTTGTCAAACATGGTTTGATCGTTGTTGGACATAGATATAAAACTACTTGGCTAAAAAATTATAAAAAATAAAAGATAGCCCTTTAGTAAATTTGACAGGATTAACTGAATTTCTTTAGTATCTATAATGATTCAAAACATATAATGCAGAAAGGTCTTGATAAAGTAAATGTAGCAGTGAACTTCTTACAAACAAGTAACACTAATAAATCATCTGCCAAGGAAAAGTAGAAGTAAAGTTCTTTATTATGACAACTCAATACTTGAAAACTTATGACTCGTGAAAGCTCATTCTGTGAAGTGAAGCCGTCTAAGCTGTCTCAGGAGACACTGAAAATAAAAATAAACAAGCACGAGTAATTAAGTTTTGAAGAAGACATCCAAATTAATCAAGAATACTTTACAAAGAGATACATGCATATCGCTTAATTTAAAAAAGAAAAATAAAATCACATTTGTTTACCATTGCTTAACTGAAGTGCCTCTTGATCAAAACCACCTTCACATAAAACCAATCATTCAAGACATTCAAGAACCTAAAGTACGAGTATCTCCATGGCCTGACGAAAATCAGACTGCCAAAAACTCCCCAAAATCCAACAATAAAACCAAGCCCCATGCTGACATAAAATCCCAATGTTATAGGCTCATTCTTTTCTTCTTCATCACCGCGCATGTTTTGAAGTGGAGGTCCGCACAGTTGAGGATTTCCAGCATAAACAGAGGGATCAAAACTTTGGAGCTGAGTGGTTGGAATTTCGCCAATAAAGTTGTTGTAGGACAAGTTCAAGACATCAAGACCATGTATCTGAGCAAGGCTGGTTGGAATTCTGCCATTTATCTGGTTTCTTGACAAATCAAGGGCAACCAATGATTGCAACTTTCCAATCTCTACAGGCAACTCACCTGTCAATTTGTTTCTCGACAGGTTTAACGAAACTAACCCAACAAGATCCGTGATCTCACTTGGAATCTCCCCCGTTAATCTATTGCTCGAGAAATCAATTCTCTTCAGAAGTCCCAAAATGTTATTGTAACCCAATGTCTGGTGCATATTAGCTAAAGTGTCATTTATTTGGTATTGATGGTTAGGAGATGAATTTCCTTTCTATGCCAGAACAATCAAAGTGCTGAGGCATTTTGGTATTGTTCCAGAGATGTTGTTCACAGACACATCCAAGTTTTGAATGTTTGTTAGACGACATAGTTCAGGCGGCATGCTTCTGTTGAAGTTATTAGAGGAAAGCACTAGGGTAAACAAATTTTGAAGGCTAACCCCTAACCATTTTGGTATGTGTCCTGATAATTTATTGTCTCCAACATCAATAATTCGTAAATTGGTGCAATTCTTCAAGGATGAAGGCAACTCTCCAACAAATTTGTTGCTTCTTAATCTCAATGATCTCATGTGATGTAGTGAGCCTACTGTGGCTGGAATTTTCTCGGAAAAAGCATTGTAACTCAAATCAAGGATGACTAGACGGCCTAAATGTGTCAAGCATTCTGGAAGTTCTCCAGAGATATTGTTGCTTGAGAGATTGAGTAACCTTAATCCCTCGTATGCTTCACACAAAATAGAAATTGACCCTGAAATTTTATTATTAGAGAGATCCAAAAATGACGGATTTTGAGTTTGAAGCCATTTTGGAAAATACGGACCCATCTTACAAGACCCCAGAAATATATAGTCCAATTGAAAAGGTGGAACCCAATTAGAATTGAAACTTAACGCTAGTGAATTGGAGGACAAATACAAAGATGTTAATCTAGAGAGATTGGAGAAGTGGCTTTCCGAAACCACACCTTCCAAAGCATTCATATCCAAATACATATACTCAAAATTAGACATTTGCCCAATGCTTTCAGGTATTGTTCCTCTCAATTGATTTCCATAGAGATCTAATCCTTTCAACGATGAAAAGTTTGTGAGATTAGGAATTGATCCAGAAAGATGATTGTCTGAGAGTCCTAAAGTCTCCAATGAGTTTTGATTTGGACATGTAGACATTAACATTTGAACCAACTTAGAAAGCCATCCAATCAAAGTGTTGCCGAAAGGTGCAATTCTTGCAGATTACATAACCTAGAAAAAGATTGCGGAATCCCTCCTTCAATGTGGTTATCAGAGAGAGATAGATAGACAAGAGAGCTCATGTTTCCAAAATCTTGGGGAATTAAACCAGTTAAACTGTTGGAAGAGAGGTCAAGATGAACAAGACTGGCATTGTAGTTTGACAACCAAAAAAATATTGAAGAAGTGAATTGGTTGTTACTGAGGCCAACATGAGTAAGAGATTTAGAAGAATTCATGTTAAAAAGAGTACTCGAATGAATTGGAGGAGAAGAAAGACCACATCCAACCAATTTCAAGTTTGTAAGTTTAGGGTGGTTACTAACTATTTCCAGCCAGTTGGGAACATTACGAAGATTGTTGTAACTCAGGTCCAAATATGTTAAAGAAGAAAGAAAGAGAGTAAGCTTGACCCAAACGTTCCCATCCAAGATTAAGTTGAGTAACATGGTTGGTTCGGTTGCTGCAGTGGATGCCAACCCATTCACAGCAATCTTGCTTGTGTTCTTCTCTTCCCCATGAGGAGAGGACATTGTAGTCGTCCACGAGCTTCTGTTTGATAGCAAGGAGTGCTTCTCTTTCCCTCTCAATGCACCTCATCACTCCTCCTGAAGAAATATTATTGGATCCAAGGGTAAGGGAAGAGTTGACACATTGCAGTAGAGTCAGCAACGCAACTAAAGCATGAAAGAGTTTCTTCAAGCGCCCGATTCCGTCACCCTCCATCTTAATTCAACTAAATCAACGAGGAGATAGTTGAAGAATGAAGAAGAAAAACTGTGGATTCAGGATTTGATTTACGAGCAAAAGGAAAGCTGCAAGTGTAGTTCAAATGGTAAGCTCAGATATACAATGATTCTAGACAGTATGATTGTCCTTTTTTTGGGTCAAAAAGACAGCAATAATTGATAAATTGAAGACTTTTTGATGCACCGATCTTGGTAAGTCATCACTCAATTTACTTCCCCACCAAATTTATTGCTTTTTCTAGTTCGACCATGTACGGAAACTACTAATTGAAAGATGCCGTATATAATTCTTCTTTCCCTCAAACTGCTTTTTTTTATTCAAGGTATTGAAATCTTAGTAAAAAATAATTTTATCTAAACCAAAAAAGTGATCATCTTTTAAGCGAACGACTGAATTTGGATGAAAATTATTAATCCCTTTAAAAGCGGGGCATTCAACGCACGCTTCAGTAGGTGAGATGTTAAGATAAAGAAGATTAATATTATTGGAACAAATGCTTACAGCACAATCATACTTTTCATGATCATTATGGGGCTTGAGTTTGAGTCTACATCTACATTTTCTCATTCGAGCAATACTCTAAGGTAATCTAAAATGTGGAGAGGAGAATTCAAACTTTGGGTGCAAGTTCAGGAGGAAGCACACTTCTATAGGCAACTTGCTACACCTCGGTATGTTGGGGGTGACAAATGACTTTGGTAGGCCAATTTTTTGATAGGTATTTTACCACCTGCAAAAGTAGGGATAAAAACACTTAAAAATACTTACAAGAGTCCAAGGTTGTCGTAGTATAGCGGCTCAAGCAAGGTCGTTTTCCGCAGGGATTGATTGAATAATTTATGTTTAAAACCAACTCTTAATTAATTATTGAAAACAAAGTTTGGAAAATGTTGATTCTAGAATTTAATATAATAAAAATGAATTTTAAAACAAAACAATTAAAGAAATTAACTAGAGAACAATTTAAAGAAAGTCAATTTGTAAAACCTAGGGTTCAGCCGTTACCCTAACAATCCTACTTAGTTCTTCTAATTCCTTATGAATTACACATGCATATTTTGAAGGTTAGGTTTTCCTAAAGTATGCCCTACTTGGAACCTCCAATATAGAACGTATATCTAACATGCAACCCGTTTGTGGCGTCCAGATTGAATGTGAACATGCAAGACTCATTAAGTTTTGTGAAAACCTTTTGAAAAACCATACAACCCTTAAGACGCGTCATCTATCCTAAGAAGTTACACATATTAACCACAAGAAGCCATCACCAATTTCAGGGACAGCCATCTGCTAAAATTGCATCAAAATACTTTTATAAATATCCTAATGGTGGGCAATCACTAAGGCAATTAGATAGTTTAAAGCACAGTGATTAATAATTCAAAACTTCCATGCATAATATCATAAGCAAATTGAAAAGAAACTACATGTTCTTGCCAAGGCTCGTGGCCTCGCCTTGGCAAACAAAACTAGTTACTAACAACCATAAAACAAAATATTATTAAAAACATGGATAGAAAACACCTTGAAAATAAACTTCAAAAGGCTCTCCAAAGTATTGCGTTCTCTCCTCTTAATGTTGCGTAGAGAACCCTAATGGCTAACAAGCCTTATTTATACTACTACAAAATAAAACCATACCTTGATAATGTTTTAGAATAAAACTAAATGATAAAAGAAAATAAAAGGTTTCCTATTTGAACCAAAATTCGGAGTTCTTGGAAAATTAGTCTTTTGACTGATCAAATCAATTCTGATTTGGTCCCAAAAGGTCTCTTTTGAAAGCTGAAGCGTCCCCTACAAAATGAATCTTCCTCAAAATACGCCATATTGACCTCCAAAATACCCAAAACGTCCAGAAATGTCAATTTGGGAAAGCCACGGTCAAACGGTTTGGTAGAAAAATCTAAAATTTTGATACAATCATCTTGAAAGGCTCACGAACATCCTCCAATTGGAATCACTCCAAAATTCATCCGTTTGATCACTTTTTGCTCTAGAGGAAGTCCAATGTCTTATATTGAAAATATAATCCAAAGTATTAAAATTCTACCAAAATAACCAATAAATTAATACTAAGATTAAAGTAAAATATATGATATAATATGAACTCATCAGTAGTTACATCAGATTGTGAATGAGTTTGACCGTGTCTAGTTGTTAAGGGTGATTCAGTGGACGCTCAAGAATTGTCTCTAGGCACCCAAGAACGGCTTATGAACAACTAAGAATTTGTCTTCATTGTTGGGTGTTCATAGAATCACCCTTGTGCAGAAGCATATATTTAGAGAGAGAGAGAGAGAGAGAGAGATGAACATCCAACTCTTGGGGCTCATTGTTGATCGTTAAAAGCCTCTTCTGCAACGGGAGCTGCAAGGGAAAGAAACATGGCAGCAGATGGCTTACTTGGTCTGGGTTTGCATTTGAGAGAGAGAGGACTATCCAACTCCGGCGAGGATACTTCTCAAACAGCCGGCCTCTTTCTGCAATAAAATTGCTGGCATAAATTTCAGTTGATCAAATCTTTACATCATCCATTCTAATATTACAACGTCCACTGATCCCTTTTCAAAACATTACATCCACTCATCCAATATTACAACATCTGATGAAAACATTACATTCATTTCAATTGATCAAATCATCAGTGAAATCCCCCTTTTTGCTATATCATATAAACATGCATTAAACAACCATTAACAATTGTTTCAATAAAATCGTAATTAACGGTTAAATAGACATAATAATTAACAAATGTATAACATTACAAGAAAATCGTAAGTTTGTGTACGACATTGTAATGTTTTAAAGTTGAGATATGAGTTTGCAATTACAATTACACTCAAATTTGAGGATGTAAAATGTAATTTATAGCATTACTCACAAATTGTAAGAGCATGTCTAATTGAGATTACAGGGAACACACCTCTACTAAAAAAATGTGTTAACGAAAATTTTTGTGTGTCTAAATAACATTGCTTTACAAATTATTAGCATGTCGTGTATAGAAGTAGAAGATGTATGGGGCCCAGCTTGAATACTACGTAGCTTTTAATAAAATTATTTAATTATTTATTTTTAATCTCAGCTATTTATTTTCAGTAGTATTAATATTACGTAGAATTAAAAAACTAATGAAAAATATTTAAAAACTTTGAGTTTCAACGATAATGATAAAATAAAAGTTAAAGTGAATTGTACCAAGATTGATATTTTAGTATAAAAATGTAATTTTTTGTTAAAATAAACATTACTAAGAGTTTTACGTTAAAATCCGCTTAAAAAAAATGTTTCATGTATCTCCAAAACTATATCCGATCATTAAACGGACCGAGTGAGTTCTCGTACGAAGACAGAACCGGATAACCAGATGGGCTGGACCTTGGGTGCTACTTTACCCCATTTACAATTGGCCCAATCCTCCTATAAATTGTCAGAGGCGCGTCGTCCCGCACCGCTTTAACACATTTGTAAGCTTCTCCAATCTCAAATCCATGGAGGCTGCTCTCCAATCAAACCCTAACCTTCCTCCTCCAATCGAATCCCTAGATCCTCACCCTCCTCATTCCGATTTCAATCCTCCTCCCCCTGCAGAAGCCCTAGCCTCAGATTCCAATGGCCCGTCTCAACCAGCGCCCACTGAAACCCTAGCATCCTATGCTCGAGACCCCTCCACGAATCCCAATACCGCTACTGAGAACGGTAACTCGACTGACGCCTGCAAGGTGCTTGCTATTATGAAGCCGCTGCTGTCGGAAAACGGATTGACCAACACCACTAGCGGCAACGAAAGGGATGGCTCGGGCGGGGAGGAGGAGACGACCAGCAGGCGCCGTCGCCGCAGCCGGTGGGATCCTCAGCCCGAGTCGGACAATCAGAGTGGTGGTGGCGAGACGGGCAGTGGCACGAGGAAGAGGAAGTCGCGGTGGGCGGATGAGGAGCCGAAGCAGGCGATTCAGCTGCCGGATTTCATGGGAGGTATTGAGTTTGATCCAGAAATTCAAGCTTTGAATAGTAGGTTGCTTGAGATTAGTCGAATGCTGTCTTCGGGGTTGCCCTTAGATGATCGTCCCGAAGGGGCTAGGTCTCCTTCGCCGGAACCTATATATGATAACATGGGAATTAGGATTAATACTAGAGAGTTCCGTGCCCGTGAGAGGTTGAACAAAGAGAGACAGGAAATTATTGCCCAGATTATTAAGAGGAACCCAGCATTTAAGCCCCCGGCTGATTACAGGCCACCCAAGCTTCACAAGAAGCTTTACATACCGATGAAGGAATATCCCGGATACAATTTTATCGGACTTATCATTGGGCCAAGGGGTAATACCCAGAAGAGGATGGAGAAAGAAACTGGTGCAAAAATTGTCATTAGGGGTAAAGGTTCGGTGAAAGAGGGTAGGTCACAACAGAAGAGGGATTTGAAACCTGACCCTTCCGAGAACGAGGACTTGCATGTTTTGGTTGAGGCCGACACACAAGACGCTCTTGATGCTGCGGCTGGGATGGTGGAGAAACTCTTGCAGCCTGTCGATGAGGTGTTGAATGAGCATAAGAGGCAACAACTTAGGGAACTTGCGTCATTGAATGGGACAATAAGGGATGAGGAGTATTGTAGGTTGTGTGGTGAGCCAGGGCACCGTCAGTATGCTTGTCCATCACGTACTTCGACCTTTAAGAGTGATGTTCTTTGTAAGATATGTGGTGATGGTGGGCATCCAACCATTGATTGCCCAGTGAAGGGTACAACTGGGAAGAAAATGGATGATGAGTATCAGAACTTCTTGGCTGAGTTAGGGGGGACAGTTCCTGAATCTGCAACTAAGCAGACCGCTACATTAGCACTTGGCCCAGGCAACAGTACATCAAGCAATCCTCCTTGGGCTAACAGTACTGGCAGTGCTAGTGCATCATCACATCCAGGCTTGGGATCAATTGGAGTCAAGCCAGTCAAGGACTATGACGAGACAAACTTGTACATTGGATACTTGCCACCTACTTTTGACGATGATGGTTTGATCCAATTGTTTTCACCATTTGGTGATATTGTGATGGCCAAAGTTATCAAGGACCGAGTTACTGGAGCAAGTAAAGGTTATGGTTTTGTGAAGTACGGAGATGTTCAAATGGCTAATAATGCAATTGCACGCATGAATGGTTATCGCCTAGACCAGCGAACCATTGCTGTCAGAGTTGCTGGCAAGCCTCCTCAGCCTGCTGCGCCTCCTGGACCTCCAGCATCGGCACTGCCCACATACGCGGTTCCCCAGCCTGTTGGTGCCTATCCATCCCAGCAGTTTACCGCAGGTGGTCCTCTTGGGAATGCACCACCTACTAGCTACGCGGGTACTCCTGTTCCTTGGGGACCCCCTGTTCCTCCGCCTTATGCTCCTTATGCTCCACCTCCTCCACATCCCCCTGGTTCAACCATGTATCCTCCTCCCATGGCGGGTCAACATATGGCTCCTTATGGTGCACGATACCCTCCTCCACCTGGGGCACCACCTCAACCTGTGACTTCAAGTGAAGCACAACAGAGTTATCCCCCTCCAGGGGTTCAAACTGAACACAACGTCTCTACCCAATCTCTACAATCTAATATGTATGGAGGCTCCTCAGCACCAATGCCACCAAACGGCCAACACACTTATCCTGCTGCTTCGTATGGTTACTCATCGTACTACAATGCAGTTCCACCACCTCCGCCTCCCCCCGCCCATGTACCTGGATCAACTGCAGACCAATCTCAGAACATTGGTAACGTTCCATGGGCCACGAGTGCTCAGGTTCCCCCTCATGCTTCTTCTGCGGAAAGGACAACTTATGGTGCAGATGCAGAGTATGAGAAGTTCATGGCAGAAACGAAATGATACCTCCAAGCTGATAGGTATGCACTGCACATTTTTTGCTTCATTCCTGGTTATACAAATTATATTTTGGTATTTTGAGTTGTGTTGATTGGATATTTGGTCCAGGGCATTTCATTTTTACAAAAATATCAACCTGTGTCAATATATAGAAATTAATATTCAGCACTTCAACTAGAGACCATTATGCATTAGACTCACAAGGATTTTAACTCGCTGTCTCTTGCTCCCTTCTGCTTATGTGCGTGATGTAGGACGAAAAATAGCTTTGGGTTTCTCACTTTTTATTGGGGTGGGTGAACGATGTGTACTGTTTATTAATTTACTTATAATTTTCCACTTTTTATTTTACACCGGGACTTTCACTTGGTCTTTTGTATATATGAAGGTTGTTTACAGAAACAGATGACCATGCCATCGTTGTCAGTGTGTGATTCCCCAGGAAAGTTCTGGATATCTATCCTGGCTTTTGTACAATGTTTTATATGGTTCTATTTTTCTTGAATTATGGCACTGGTTTATACTAATGCGTGATGGAGGCTAACGCAAGCCTTCTTTTCCGACTCCTCTGGATGGAATGAAGAAAAATGTGCATTTTTTTGTGATTAATTGAATCACCCAAAAAGCTTGTTGTGCAGGGATGATCTTCAAAGTCGAATGGCTAGGATTACATTTTATAGTTTCCGTTCTTATGTTGAGGGGCACACATATCTGATTTTTCTATATTGTGCTGCATAAGTCATTTATATCTTGTTTTTGCAGTACTTGACCCTTCTCCATTGCTATTATGTAAAATTTTGACAGGGCTGATGTTTCTTGGAGCTCTTGTGAACCGATTTCTTACCTCTTGCCATGACTTTGTTGAAGTTTGGGACTCACATCTTTAACCTTGCTGTAATGTTATGACCTTTGCAGAGACTTGGGCTGGAGCTTCCATTGATCGTTTCATGTTGGAGAAGTCATCTTTAAACAATATGATTCATATTATTTTGGGTGCTTATGTTGGACGTAATTTTGTTATTTTTCTGGTTACTTTTCTCATACAAATTCTAGCTACTAATTTCTTCCTTGTTCAAATTTCGTCTGAACTTCCATTATTTGGTACTAATGTTTTGTGATGTTATGTTGGGTTGCATCACTAGTTTTGTTGCTTTGCCTAACGGTTTTCCCTCTCTAGTTTCTATTGTAATCCAATTTTTACGTTAAGGACCCTAATTTTTTCCGCCTGCCGTGGTTTCTGAAGCTGCTTCAGTGATGCATTATCTTTCCATTTAAAAGGTAATCACGCCTTGCAACTCAAGGCATTCTTGGTAGGTGGAAGCTAATGTTATGTTTTATTCATATTATCTGTGTTTTCATATAACAATGGGATATTGATGTTCTTTTCTAGTTTTCCATTGGCAGGTAAAAGAAATCATTCATGTATGTATTGGTTACCACTTGTTTTTGAATATCCAGAGTTTTGGTTCTGTCTTATGGGTTTTTTACACTTGTTTTGGCATCTTAGTAAAACTAACCCTGATCATAACCGAAATTGCCAAGTCTTGAGTGTTGCTATGATTGTTAGAGGACCTGAGGTAGAAAGTGGTCCATTTCGGCGAGTTTGAATATGCTAGGTGGTGAGGATTACTTTTACAATGTATTTCGTTATCTAATTTCTTCAAAGTGGTGGTGTTACTAGGTTTGCCAGATCCTCATGGATGAAGCCACTAGATACATACAGCATGCTTATATTCTTCTATCGAGTTCAATCATCGTTCCTAGGTGTCGCCCCGCTTTTGAGCTTTGATTGTGAAGGAGGAAAAGAACCTGTGTAACTTGTTAGAAATAGTCCCAATTGTGATTGTGATTCTGGGTACTGTACATTTCCGGCAATGTTAACTAGTTTCTAACACATGTTCCTTCACACCTCATTTTGTTGTTTCATTGTGTTGAATTGGCCCTCCCATTTCTCACTCGTACCATGCATGTACAGGCTTCCCTTTGAAGCCTTGTAGGGAGAGGTTGGTTTTGTGAGGATTAGATATGGGGTGGTGGTTGCGGGGGGCGGGGGTTCTGGCGCACCGGGAGGGGAAGAGGCAAAAGCACGGGTCTTGGGTATTTTTTTTGGGATTTTTAACGAAAAACTCCTGGCACTGTTCATTTTTAACGAAAAATCATATTTTTATCTTTTTCTGGTACTATTCACTAAACTTTTATTTGTGATTTTTCATTAAAACTAAAGTTTTTTTAAACTTTTCGTTTGTCTTTTTTTGTTTTTTTAACCCGGTCGTAGCAAAAACCCACCGTGCAGATCAATCTAACGGCTATTGACATGTGCACAAGAAAAATCGCTTATACTCGATCTTCATCTTCAACAACCGGTTCTTTGATATGTGCCAAAACTTGAAATTGCTTATTGTGGTAATGATGAGATTGGGCACTATGTGTTAACTATACAGCTGCGTCTGAGGCCGTGAAAACTAAATGACATTTTACAATTGGAATTTTAATCAATATGAGAACAACGATCGGTTTTTATGGTTATGGTAACACTCGAGACAAAAGCGATAATGATTTGTGGAGAGGGGAATATGGATTGGTATTTAGAGACTTGGCCAAATAGATATCGCATCGTGGCATGCTAAAACATTGCTATTAGCCCTGGCAATAGCCTCGCTTCTAAATTATTTCGAAATAATAGGCAAAGTGTTGGCAAAATGCATGTAACAAAAAAGGATCTAGGAAATAGTAGATCCTGGAGCCTTAAATTATTTTTTTGGAAATTACTACAACATAGTAGACAATTATATATGAAGGGTTCTTACTGGTAAGAACGCATTCACTGATTGAGTAGAAAATTTACATAGGTTATTACCGGTAAAAACACTTGCAAATATTTAGCTCTACTTTTGAACATGTTCTTACCGATAAGAACACGTGTAAATTTTCAGCTCTACTAATGAGCGTGTTCTTACCGGTTAGAACACGTTTATATATGACTACCATCCTGTTTTGTACTAATTTATAAAAATATAATTTTGGCCTCGGTCTAGCCTTTCTTAGATCCTTTTATAAAAATAAAAAATAAATGAAAATAAAAATAAAAAATCTTAAATAGTAGGCAAAGTGTAAGAAAAATGCATTAACAAGCCTCACGAATTGTCGATAGAAGGCATGGTGTCATGAATTCTTCTAGCCTTTATGAAGGTCTGTAAGATTGATACAACTACCATAATTTAGTTTAATTATTCTATGTTTAGTTATTTCATTTAGCATTACTCTATTATATGGCGTTTATATTGAGTGGTGCTATCCACACACCCATTGTTAATTTTTGTTCTTTGATTTTTTTCAATCAGTTGATCCGCTGGTCGGAAATTTAGAGAGTTTGTGAGAAGTAAAAATGGGTATGTGAATAGTCCAACCTTCGTATATAATTATTTAAGTGTCTGGATACACAGCCTTATAGCGTAATTGTGCAATCGTCAAGTCCACTCGACCTGGGTTCGATTCCCGCCCTCTTTCTCTTTTTTCCCCAATTTTTATTTTTCGTCCTTCTTCTCCGTCGAGAAAGCCATGGATAACGACGATCCCTCTCACCGTCGCAGAAGGGTAACTTCCCGCTCTTTCTCTCTCTCTCTCTCATCAAAATTCTTGTTCAATTTCACCAGAACTCCATCTCAGATCTGAAATTCTTGTTCTTCTTTCCAGCCTAGGTTCATTCCCAGAGTCCAGCCACGCAAGAAGCTTGGACCAACTGCCCCCACTCCGTAACTCTCATAATTTCACCCTCCAATTTCCATTTAATTTCATTTTGTTGTCAAAATTCATAGCATTATTAGTCTTTTATTTGACATTTTTGAGTTGCCAATCGCTGCAGCGACGTCGGCGACGGCGGCGATGGTGGTCAAGAAACTCGCCAGGCCCAGACTCTGCTGAGTCAGCACAATGTAAGCTCGCTCTCTCAGCTTTCAACTTCTTTTCTTTCTTTATTGCTGTCCGTATTTTGATTTTTCATTTTCTTGGTTTTTGTAGGTGATTTTTTTATTCATTTGTTATTTCTTTTAATTCTTGGGTTTTTTTTCTTTAAAAAAAAAAAAAAAAAAAGAGATTAAGCGGCTTTTGGCTTTTTTGAAAAGTTAAATAAGGCTGGTTGGGGTCAAGCGTACGATTTGGTCAGAGGGTGTGTTTGGTACGGACCGTATGGTATTAAATTGGACAATCATAATGTGGTAATTTCCTTTTTGGAGGTTTAGGGTTTGGACTTTAATTTTCGACATATAAAAGATACGGAAAGAAAAATAATTTACTTTTGGATTTGGCGGTAAAAGGAGATGGTTTGCACACGTGGGTTGGGCCAATTGGCGAAAAAAGTGTGCTCATCTTTTTGGCATTCAAGTTCGAATTTTTTTTGCTCTAAGTTTGAGTCGTCGTGCCCGTATATAGACTAGTTTAGAAATGGAAACATAATATGTTTTGCCAATACGTGCAGCTGGAATGTTGTTCTGAAGTCAATAACCTGGAATTATTCTTACTTTCCCATGATGTCTACTTTGCTTTGACAATGTGTTGGATAGAATGTGATATTTGATAACTCTTGATTTCTTTCAATTATATAAGATTAGCTGAACAAATGATTGATTCTTGTTCTTGAATTTACAGGAGAGAAGACGGGGAGTCGAAAAGAAATGTAATTTCTCATTAACTTTGCTTGCATATTAACTTGGCGTATCACATACCGTCTTTAGATTCAACATGGATTCTTATAACTATGAGATTGGTTATAATGTTACTTATCCGAAAATGTGTCGAGTACAATAGTTGCTTTAGATTATCCTGGATTCGCTTTCCGTTCATGTTTGCTGTTCATCTGCAGCTACACTGCAAGTTGCGTTTGGTCCTGGAGGAGCAGGTGCGTCCTCAACTTCTATCAGAACATTTGGAGCTGTAAAGGACGGCAATGATGGTAAAAGCGGCAGTGTAGTTCTCAAAGACTCTGATGATGAAGAGCAAAACCTCTCAACTTTTCCTTCAGCCTCTACTGAAGCTGAAACGGATGTAACCATGGAAGATGCTATCGATCCAGAAGCAGAACCACTTCAGACTGTCAAGAATACAGAATTTTGGGTAAGAACCCGCGGCATATATGTCTCTACGTCACTCTCTCTCTCTCTCTCTCTCTTTGTATTGCTCTCTCACAAACGATTCTCTGGTGCTTCTGCAGGATTATGAGAACACATACTATCCTACTACTCTCCCTCTCAGGCAACCCAACTCTGGAGACCCAGGTATTCTTTTTGAAAGCTGAAAACCATTTCGGTTTTCCTTATGCAGTTAATGGCACTTTTAGTTTATAGCCATCTTGTAATTCATTGATCTTTTGTTTTGCTTTTAGAAATCCTTAATGAGAGTGAATTTGGGGAGGATGCTGAAAAAGAGTATGATGAGAGCACTATAAATCCTGCTTCAGAACTCGGGCTGCTGGTGCGTATTGGATTAGTAACTTATTTCTGATGTAACAATGTTAAACACTAAACAGAGTGATATATTTGATTGGCTGTTACTAAACTTGCTTGACAGGAGGAAAAAGAGAAAGCGAAGTTGTTATTCATTCAACTTCCTTCCATTTTGCCATTGACATCAAACCCAGCGGCCACTGCCACGGGCAAAGAGAAAGCTGGAAGCTCAACATCACTGGAGAGCACAGGTGCTCCAAAGAAGGGATGCAGTTTGGAAGAGTTGCCTGCCGGATTTATGGGTAAAATGCTAGTTTACAAGAGCGGAAAAGTCAAGCTGAGGCTAGGAGATACCTTCTATGATGTAAGTCACAGCCATTAACTTTCCTTAAACTGAAAGAAAAGCACGATTATGGAAACTTTTTATCATCTTTGTCTGGTTATATATATGTTAATCATTCCGTGATCAAGTTTAATAACGTTTAGTTTACTTACCACTCGCTCTTTCTGTTTCACAATCCAAAGAACGATGATTTCGTGTCATCTGCCCGGCACAGAATAGTTTTTCATTAGATTTGACCTCCCACGAGTACGAGCTAGATTCAAGTATTATGAATGAGAACATAATGTTCATTTTTGTGCTTACGATACGCAGGTTGCACCTGGTTCAGATAGCAAGTCTAATCAAGATGTTGTGGTAGCCAACACTGTAGAGAAGAAATGCACCGTTCTCAGAGAGCTACGCGAGCGAGCTGTTGTAATTCCTGATGTGGATTCCCTCCTAAATGTGATTAACAGGAATTGAATGCAGGGATGTTACAAAAATTAGGTGCATTTTGAGGTGTAATGGGGGAATTATGCACATGAAAAAGCTGGAAATGGTGGATATGTAGAGGAAAATCTTGAGGAGTAAATATGTTGCTAGAATTACTGAAGACTGAAGGTGCCAAGTGTAATGAAATGTAAGCGGTTGTAGGTAAAAATTAGTAGGTCAGACAGAAAAATTCATCCGGTTAAACAGTTTTACTGACTCCATGTGGTTAAACAGTTACTGTTTGAAGTTTTTTCAAGTGAATCCATCTCTTTCAGGATAACTTTTTTCTTTTTACTGAGTCCATGTGATTAAACAGTTTTATTTTTTGCATGGAAAGGTATAGTGTAGATCACAATTTTCTGTTTGACAAAGCTATATTCTAAAAGGCGACCTCAAATCAATAACGCTTTTCACTTCGTGAGAGTCAAGGGAGAACGTCTATTGTACGCAGGTTTACTAGAAGTTGTTTCTACAACTCAAACATGTAACATTTTGATCACTAAAGAACAACCTTTTGTTTTGCACCAATGCTCGCCCTCTAACAAAGCTATATTTTAATCTACTTCAATCTACAGGTAGGGAACTTCAACTCGGATAAATCTACCGGTAGGGAATTCGAACTCGGATAAATAGTGATTAGACGTACTTGGCCTTTCAAGTGCATCCCAGAAAAAGAAAATTAAAATTGCATAGTTGGACCTCAACTATTCGGTAATTACCGATTCGGTTGCAATTGTTACCAAAAGATTCAGGTGGCAATGCAAAAATACTGATAATATTACAAAAAACCATAGCTAGTATCCATAAATCCCCACATTGGAGGCAACTTGCTAACTCCAATGTACCAAGCACTGGAAGTTTATAACAAAACATAGTTTGAAACATAGAATGCCTAACAATGGAGTGGAAAACTTCAACTGCAAGTCATCCAATGGAGATATGCTGGTGATGTCGTCGGATTAGGGTCAAGCCTTGTGGGTTCGAGTAACCACCACAATCAACAGGACCACAACGGAGAGCATGAACGATTTTTTCAGCCTGTCCTCAAAGCGATTGCTGGGTTCTGCTTTCGCGTTTTCCCTGCTTGGAGGTTGAAATAAGTCGCCCATGACCTTCGTAATTTTCTCGATTGCTTCCATGACTTTTGCCATGGTATTTTGAAAGATCCACTTGACAATGTTTGTTGTTTTATCGTTATCATCAGAATTCTCATCTGGACTCTCGGATTTATTGTCTTCATCTGCGTATATGATGAAAAATTCACATTGAACCTAACATAAGTCACGAGCACATTCCTTCAACCTTTCAGCATTGACAAGGTATTTCACTCTCAACTGTTACATACTTTCCAGCTGCTTAGTATATTGCTCTCTTTTGGATTTTCTAACATGTTGCTCTAACTTGTAATTTCATCTAACTAAAGAGGCATCAACATCGAACAAAAAACATTTTTCAAATCTTGATTAAATGCTAGAATATCTTCCTTATATAAATTCAATGAACTATAGTCTATAGAATATAGTCCTTGCTGAAATCCAAATCATACCAACCTGCATAGAAAGATTCCCGGAGCTCGCGCACCACCTCATTGTTCATTACCGCATCCCAAACCGCTCTATCAGATGACAAGGAGATCACCATTCTCTGCACAACAAAAAACCCTTAAGACATAATTATAAAAAGTTCATATGAGATTAGACAATACAAAGCAGGTGCTATTATATTGCATCCTCTGCAATATAGAAATTAAAAAAAGAATTCCTTTCTGGAATAATTTGCAATTTTTTTTTTTTTTTTAAGAGTCAATGGTCTGAATAAATTCAAAATAAAATTGAGAAAAAAATATATGAAAAAAAGACTCGTTCTGGTAAAAATAAAATGGTCAACAAAGAAAGGGACCTGCACAGAAGACTCGGTCTGCAAGAGATGGAAAGCATCATAAACTCTTTCAGAACCATAAGACTGCAACATCTTTGAATTATTAGAAAAATAGGCAGAAGGCTCCATCCGATCTAATTCTGACCCAGCTGAAGATGCTGGGTGCACAAACCCAGCAGAAGCCCTTGTAATTTGATCGTCCACAGCGCTGTCTGACTCAGAACCAAACTTATCCCTGATGAAGGGACTGATAACCCTACCAATCACAAAACCCCATTTCATCAAACAAGGCGTGATTAGTATAAAATGCAACAAGGCAGGCAGTTAATCATTGTTTTCATTCGACAAGATGGTAAACTAATCTAAGTTGTGGGGTGCGAGATTCAAACTCGAATGCAATAGGTCATGCACAGCTGTCCTCATCAACTAACCTGACCCACATCTGTCAGCGTAAAAATTATTTTTATGACAAGATGATAAACTAATCTAATTTACACGCAAGGGAATTCTAACAAGTGCAACAGGGCATGAAAATTGTGACCAACTGAACTAATTTACATACGGCTCTAAAACACATAAAGTAAAATAACATAAAGGGTTTTTGTTATCTGAGACAAAAGAGTATTGAGTTGCTTACTGTTGAAGGGCAGAGACAGCACTGTGAACTTCATCCTTGGAAGGAACAGGTCCAAGAACAAAATCATCAAGAAACCCGCGTGAAACTCTCTCATCATCCTCACTGCTAATGCCATTATTCAGAGTCACCCAATCAAAATCATCAAAGCGAGGAGAAGAAGGCCAGCCGGGCGTGCCACAACTGGAAGCCAGAGGAATATTGCACGAGGCAAAAGGTGAGGTGGGTGAGGAGAGAGAGAGATTGTGGGAAGAACTGGGCTTCTGGGTGTGCCTAGAAGTGGAAGTGGTGGTGGTGGTATTAGCAGCAGCAGAAGAACTGGAAGAAGAAGAAGAAAGGGGTTCTTGAATTGGTGGGCCACCAGCAACAGTTCTGGTGACTGCTGCCCTACTCACAGTCCTAAACACGCTTCCTCCTCCCCCTCCTCCGCCCATGCTTCTTCCACCAAACATCACTGAAATTCCTTATGGTTTTTTTCTTCTCCTTTTTTAGTTCTCAGACTATGAATCTCTGTCGTCCCTTTTCTACGTTATCTAAATCTGGGAGGAGGCAGGATTGAGTGGATTCCTTAGTTTGTCAGGCTCTGAGTCTCTGACTCGTTTTCTGTTGATATTCTCGAGGTCATGAATGTGGATAGGGTTAATAAAAAATGGTTCAGAGTTCCATTGGCGTCACAACTTCTAGGTATAAAAAGAAGACTCCACGTTTTGGTTCTTAGTGGGAGGTGGCTTGGCTTCCCCCATATCTTTCTGTTGTTAATTTATTCGTTTGCTTGGATATATATATATATATATATATATATATGTATGTATGTATGTATGTATATATCATTCCTTATATTTTGTGTTGTTATGTACAATACGTTTAACCTAAATAAAAATACTTCAATAACATATGTGGACTTTGGCCGGTTGATTAGGATATGAAACCTATTAGACTGGAGTTGTGATTTACCTCTCGATAGCAAATGGGGTATATTCTATATACCACAACAAAGATACACTATTAGAAATACATGAACGAAATATAGTAGATTGTCCTCTAAATATATTATAGCAAGCAAGTGATGACTTTTTCTGATAGTTAAGATATTTATGTTCAATTTCTTGGATTCAAATCCTCTCTTTTTCTCTCCCCTACCCTTTTTTTCAGGGGCGGATTCATTCATTGACCCTGGTAGTCCCAGGACCACCGGAAGCCTAAAGAAGTGCTTATGAGGACCTCTGAGGACCATCCAATGGTCTGTGCAAGTGGTGAAGAGAGAAGATCATCATGGTTGTTCAACAGAAGCTTTGAACCAAAAAGAAATATCTATTTTAGAACCTTTTTTATTATTTTAATTGTTGTCAAACAAAACTTTTAGGTTGCCCTTAATTTTTTTTTAATTGTTCTCATAGATGACGAATTTTTTTTACATTAAACAAGGGAGGGTTGGGCTAAACCACACAATGGGCAACCTAATTTGGTATCGAATTCGTCATCTATGAGATTCGAACCAAAGACCTCTCACTTACAATTGAAGAGGAATACTACCATATCGTAATACTGAGTGGCTAATTGTTGTCAAATTAGGTTGTGCAACTTTAACATTTTATTTAATAAAGAGGGGGTCTATTACTCAACCAATATTTTTATACCATATATGTTTGACACCTTTTTTTTATTTATTTTTAAATTCACTATAAATTAAAACAGCCTTTGAAAAATATTTTGTAATGTACTACGAACTCGTAACTTGAACTTTCATATCATAACATCAAATTCACCAAACTAGTAAAACAAACATTCTAATATTTTTATGTGTTATATGTTAAATAATAAACACAAATTCTCAATACAATTTTTAAGAGTAAATAGACACTTATTTATATCATATAGAATAAATTTACTTAAATCTGTCTATACACCTAGACGGGCCTAGTCTTTAGCCCGTCACCCAACAAGCGTCTAGTGTACCATCCAATATTAAAATTCTAAATCTACCACTACCCTCCACTAATGTAAATTAATATAATACTCCCTTTTTTTCAATATATATATATACACACACGCGAACGAAAGTAGAACTTTGTGAAAACAAAAGGGAATATAAACAAATTTTGGCCATATACACATTTTACTATGAATGCATCCAAAAATAGATATTTTCTTCCTTTGTTTTAAAATTTTGTTGCGAAGCTACTTAGTACTACAGTCTAGTTGTATTCCTTTTCACTTATAAGTGGAAGGTCTTACGTTAGATTTTTGTCCAAGGCGAATTTGAACCACATTATTATGGTTAATCTAGCGGTATTCCTTTTTACTTATAAGTGGGAGGTCTTACGTTTGATTCTCATCAAAAATGAATTTAAACCGCATTATTATAGTTAGCTCAGTGTAAGGTTTAACCTACTGTCCCATCCCCTTAATATAGATATTATTGTTTCCTCAAAAAAAAAAAAAAAATTGTTGTGAAAACTCTTGGCCCAGAAAATTTTGCACAAGTTTGGGCTAAAAATCACCACTAGGGAGGCCCAATTTGGGAAATGGAAAATATTACTGAAAAGCCTAGCTAGTTCCGAAACCTATATAAACGTCCAAGTTTTAGTAGAAAAAACGGGAGAGTAAGGAGGAGATTGGTCCAATTTGACATTGAGTACTGAGGATTTCTTCAATCCGAACGAGTCTCTTTTTCTCGGTTTTTCCATTTTTCTAAGGTTGTATTTGACTACTTAATGATGTTGTGGTTTTGGCTGATGAGAAAAACTTGGCGAAGTTAAGAAAATATTTGAATGTGATTTCCGTTGCATTTCTTTCCAACCCCTGAAGGTGAAACTTAAGATTTGAAGATATTATTTTGCTCGTATTCTATAGAGGAGGAAGCCATCCGAGTTATGCGGTTTCGCAGTGGTACGTTATACCGCCAGCATCCTTCTGTTGTGCAGATCACTCATCCCCCACGCCCCGATAAGGCTCGCCAATCGGGCTACAGGCCGAGCAGGTAATGAAATTCTTCATCTCTGAGATTGTACATATGAAATTCTTCATTTTGTCTTGCTTTCAATTGCTTTGCAATGATGTTAAACATACATGTTGTATATCTTTTCAATGGTTTTTCAATTATGGTTTATTCAGTGACCAATGTAACTAGATGTATAGACTGATTCTGGTGGTTGGATACTTGATTTTTTCAGTGTGCCGGAAACACAGCCCGGTTTCAACCATTTGGTTAAGTATTTTTGAGTATTTGGAGTTTTAGTTGTAAATGGTTAAGCATGTCATGAATTTCATTCGGCTGCTAGAGTATTCTTCCTCTGTAATGCAGACACAGTTATACGAAAAATCAAGAAATAGCATAGATGGTCTACTATCTTGCATGCGAAGGGTGGAAGATAATGGTATTATTTATCCCTCACGACTTGGTTGGAATTCTACCTGCTGTGCTTCAGATTTTGTGACTAAAGTTTACCTCTTTGCAGGCCTATGTTGTTTACTGTGTGTGTGTGAGTCGAGGTGGACATAAGCGACCAGTTGCTATATTGTGTATGGTAAACCCACAAACCAGTTCGTCACTCAATTGGAATTACAACGGAGCAAGCGCGCAGTTGCAGAGGAGTGCGCTGGCCGGAAACTAGGCGTCCTCACAGTTCTCAACTCTTACTAGGTTAATGAGGTATTCACAACATGCTGATTAGGGTTTGCACAAAGTTTTCCTCTTCTCGTTGACAAAATCATGTTGGTTTGTTGTGATATATGTGACAGGTGACATTGATCAGTCTCTAACTGAACGGAACAGGCAACCGATGCTTGTACCTTCCAAATGTTTGATATTATAGTATCTTTTACTTGTATTCAAAACATTATCACGTAGTGTTACTAATTCACTTGTTAAGACATGATTAAACGGCATAGTTGATATGTCACACTTCTAAGTACATTTATAAACAAACAAAACAACTATACTTGTTAGACTATGAGTTAAGTCGTAACATAACGTTACAGCCTGTATAAATCGAAAAATTACCCCTTTTACCGTTTTCCTTGTATAGGATTCAACATACAAATATTATGAGGTAATCTTGGTTGATGCCGCCCACAACCCAAGGATAAGTTGGATCTGCAATCCGGTTCACAAGCACAGGGAGCTTCGCGGACTCACTTCTGCTGGAAAGAAGTGCAGAGGCTTGAATGTCAAGGGACACTTACACCACAAGGCACGGCCATCGAGGAGGGCAAACTGGAAGAACAACACCGGATCTCTTCCACGCTATCGTTGACTGTACTAACTTTTCTAGTTTATATTGGGTTTTAGGCATTGAAAGAGAACCTGTCGAGTTTTGCTATTGGTAAACTAGCTCTGAACTATTTATCCTACGAGTACTTAAATAAGTTGGTTTTTGCCCCTTCTATAAGTTCCTTTTATTTGTGCTTAGGCTAGCTCCTATCGCAACCAAAAAATTCTGACAAGAAAATGTTAATAGTTTTTGTGATTGATCCAATATGTTAAGACATTGTTAAGAAGCTTTTTTTTTAGCCATTTGTGTGGATACCAAATGGTTTGGGCTCGGAATGGATGAATGATATGTTCATCTCTATAATAGAGATAGAGTCACCAATACTTGTAAATCTCATCTCTATTAAAGAAATGGTATAAATGGAGATCAAATTTTCAGCAACCATTTTGTATTTCCTTTATCATTGATTGACACATGTTAAGAAACTTACCTTTACTTAACTTTGTTGTCATAAAAGTAACATGTGTCAATCAATAATAGAGGTCGCATACAAAATAAGTGCAGAAGATTCGAGCTCTTATAAATATGGTAAAAGTAGCAATTTTGTGTGGAGAAAGGATGTGAAATCGTAAAATCGCAAGTGAAGTGACGCTGCATCCCCATCCGCTAGGCAATCATTTTCTTCATCTCCACCAACATTTGCCACACAAAATGTCAAAAACCAAAACATTTTCTGTTGACCAAGCTTAACAAGAAAACAAATATCAATTATGAATTCTTTGCTATAGGGATTTGTTTAAATAGTGTGAAAATATTGTATAAATACGATTATAATTAAGAGAAGTGAACGTTTTAACTTTCAACTCAAATGAGCAAAAAGGTTTACCCTTACGCGTTTAATCATAATTAAACCTAACGACTTAAATGCTTTTTTTGGACGCTAATTAGTGAGATGCATGTGGAGGAAAATTTTGCATGTAAGTTTAGGAAAAGGGTTAGGTGAAAGTCTTGGGATTTGTCAAAAAAAAAAGAAGTCTTGGGATGAAAATTGAGCAGATAGCCAGTAGCAAGCAAGCTCGGTTTGATGAGGATGGAGCCTTAGCGAGAAGAAAGAAGAAATTGTGATGATTCATTGGACTCCCACGGGCACGTTGGTTGTCCTCCAATGTCTCCAGAAATGACCAACAATGGTAATTATAAGCTTTGAAAGCTTGGCCAAAAAAGTGGTGCAAAAGAGAAAGATGAAACTTATGATTAAGATGCAGACTAGGGTTTTAGACAAGTATCCAACAAACATATATGAGTATAAAGTGAAGTTCATCTTCCAAAAGGAAATGATGGTGGTTTTTGGGGTTTTCCTTGGGAGGTTGAATTTCCTCCACAGTTTTCATAGCATTTAGTCTTTGATGTGCTTCGAAAGGGAGGAAAGCATAAGTATGAAACAATGCATTTTAAAGAGAAGGTGGGTGTGGGGAGGATAAGAAACACTCTATGATCACCAAACGTAATTTTTCCCATGAATAATCTAAAATTTATAACAATACACATAAAATGTTATCAAACTCAACTCTTTTTCTAATGTTTTTCCTAACTATTTCACACAAGATGGGTATGAGGGGATTATGGTGAAAAATTTTAAAAACCGTTAGCATTAAGATAACACCAGGATTCCCTTTGCCATCATCGTGTGATTTATCAACGTCAGGAATCAAATCCAAAACATGCCGTATGGAATACAAATCTAAAACTCGTTATTAACCACTGGGCCACCCTATGGTGGTTCTTGTTGAGCTTGAGTTGGATTCAACTTAAAAATACCTCCTTCAAGAAAACTTGTTTGATGTATGAAAATGAAGCGGATAACCATGAACGCGCATCCAACAATATGTAATTTGGGCAGCTTCCCAAAACCGTCCCTCACAATTAGCAATTTCCCCTACCTTTTCTATCCCTTTGCTTTAGAAGGTCTTATAAATCATTTTGCTTGTCTATCTCTATACATACTCTCGAAATAACTGGCGGTGCTCACAAGTCTTAACCTATCTTAATCTTTACAGCATCTTTTGTTTTTGTTTTTTTCCCTTCTGAACAGAAACACCAAATGATAGAGCATGGCATGTAAATGCAATGATAATATGGGACCCTTTTTTTTGTAATGTTGTTGAAATTCACTTAGACCACAAAGATTCACACATATATATTTAAAGGTTTTCAAATGGGTGATTATTACAAAAGCTAATCGATCACATGGATCCATCTTAATTATCTTAACTTTCTAAATTAATCTCCCATAAAGCTAAACGACAAGAATTTGTCCATCTTACAACTAATTAAACCTTTTACCCCCTTTCGTAATTATATAACTTGCATTGTGATCCAAGTCAATTGACCTCCTCTGTATTTTTATCAATTCCTTAATCTTCGTAGAAGTAAACAATTAGCATTTTGTCACTAGTAAACATTAATTTCGAAACACGATCACAACCAAACAAACTACTTATGTTTTTAATTACAAGCGATATTATTATTCTAGGAATTGAAGAGTTTGAAACTGGTGCGTAGTAAATTGAGAAAAAGATCCTATTTAAAGAGAGATTTTTCAGCGTGGTCGGAACACGAAGTGATATGTCACATGTCACCTTATTACTAATGAATATCAGAAAGCCATGCATATGTCTTGATATTTAGCACTAAGGTGAACTCCATTAGCACACCCAAAAAGCCATGCGTGTGTCAAATTAACCATCACAAAACGTCACTTAATTAGACACCAACATGGAGAGAAAGATAATTAACTAAGGGTAATGGGTTTGAAGCAGTTGTTAATTAGTCCTATTCTTTTCCCTCCTAAAAGATGAACCACGTTTGGGTATGATTCACAAGCAAATTAACGATATACATTGGTATGGGTGCATATATATATGTGTGTGTGTGTGAGAGAGAGAGTGTATATCTCGTTTCTAAGAATTTGGGAAAAGGTCAAGACCTCATCTTCAAAACATAAAAGACAAGGACTATATGATGAAGTTCAATTAAGAAGGGAAAATAATTAGGAAGACGAACTGAACTTATGTACTCAAAAGTCGATTAAGGGCTTCCTTCTAATCAACAGAGTTGTATTGCACTTGCATGTCCACTTCTTAATGGGGGGAGGGCAAAATTGTACTTGTATATGATCGGTAGGTGGTGTGGTGGTGTCTAGTGCTTACTGTACGTTGAGATATATTAGCTTTTAGCTCCAAATCTTGACTTAAGAGGGTGGAGATCTTCTCACATGCTGATCATGTCACTCACCTTCAAACCCTAATAATTCTGTTCTCCACTAATTACAAAGTGCATGATATTATGTGAAGAAAAACCCACACAAAGAGGATACACTAAAAGGGGAAAAGGTCGTTCACAAATTTAATTACGAAAGGGCAAGAAAAAGACGAAATGGGAGAGGAGGGAGGCGACTCGCAGTCACCGAGTGTGAACAGTTGAACAGTGACTGGGACTGCGCGTAACTCGCACAGTGTTGGTTTCTGCAGAAGAATGAAGTGGGGTCCTTCTTTTACTCTCGCTCAATCTTATTCTACTTTCATTTTGTTGAGAACACGGTCCAATAGATCAAGTGTCACTTGGATTTCTGTATCTGCTTTGGTTTGAGCCATGCTGGTTTGTATTGTAAACGCCTGATGCGTACAGAGTCTTAGGGCAGAAACGTACCTTCATGTACATTTGGGGACTTTGGCATGTGCACAGAGGTCAGTGGCTCAGTTTTTCCGTTGACTTGTAGCTTAGTTGCTGAAAATTCAAATTAATCTCTAACACAATTTAAAACAAGGGAGACTAGAGACATCAAATTTGTGTCTGTTTAGGCTTTAGCATAGATTTTTGTATGTTTCGGTATATTTTATCTAACGAAACTTTGAACCGTTAATTTTTTCTTGACTGTATGGATCTAACAACCAAAAGTGTCATTGTATGTTACATAATGGTGGATCCTATCAATTGGTAGACAAAGGGAGATTAGTGACCAAATAGTGTTGTACGGATCTTCAGGGAGAGGTACACAAGCAACAGTAGTGCTCAATTCATCCATGCAGGTATAAGTATATATACAGTAAGATTCAGGACAAATATCAATAGGGGCTATTCAAAGCTAACCATGTGACAATAATAACGCTCTCGAGTGTGTCTAGCCACATAATACAATAGCATGAAAGCAACATGCATCAAGTAAGAACAAAGGTTTTATCGTTAGAATTTTTTATTTAGCAGCAATTGCTGGTATTACGCGAAATCTCAGTTTTTCATTGTTGTATTCCCTAGTTACTGTGGCAATTTAATCCGTGGAGCGTCAAGTGGGTAGATCGAGGAAAGATTTCCCTGTCACGGCGGTATATTCCCATGCGAGATGAGTGAGGTAAAAGCATGGAATATCACATACCTTCGGGACAGGTCAGTTTTCTGCTCCGGTAGGCCTTAAAACTAACAACCAGCAGGAACAGCAAGATAACAACGTTTGGTAGCTCGTTATTTTCGAAACTCGTTTTAAGTATGTACGACTGTACGAACACGACTGCTAGAATTCGATTTATCGAAAATACAAGATGGAACAGTCACGTTGAACATGCAAATATTGACAAATAATTCTGAAGTCACCTGCTGATTGCAACTGTTCATCACTTTCTCGAATATACCAATTTCGACTCTGCCTTTTTCGTCATGGAAATGCATATTATCATCATCCATCAAATTCCATAAAAATAAAAAAGAAGAAGAAATTGAAAAATGGAAAAAGCAGAGGGAAAGAGAAGGAAGGGGAAAAGGGAGAGAAGCGTCGGAGAAAAAGAAAAGTGGGCGGAGCAGGAGGAGCAACCGATATAGGAATTGAGATGAAATCACGCGTTGGCGTGGGAGGAGGCAAAAGGAGCCTTCTCGCCCATCATGCCTCTTCATGCCTCGTGTCTCTTGTGCCACGCCGAGCCCTACTGTGGTGGTAGGGTCGCCTCCATCACGCCTCATACCCTCCCTCTACCCTAATAACGCATGCACTTCATACGTTCCTTTCTCATATTTACCCTCTTTTTTATTTATTTTGTATTTCTAATTTTATGACAGTTGCATTTTGCACCATGTAGATTAGTCTATGTCATTTCAAAAATCTAGCAAAAAGACATTTTGTTTTCTACAAACGGTAGTGTTGAAGGGTGAATCAAATATAAGATCTCAACTTCAAGAATAAATGTCTTTACTTTTTAACTATTTGAACTA